AAGAAGAAAGGAGTGAGGGGATGGGATTTGGGCCCAGACTAAATCTTCATGGCAGGTAAGTCTTTAGTATGTAAAGGTCAGAAGCGCCGAGAAGCTCATTTTAGAATAATAAAAAGCTTTTGACTTTATTAGGCTTTTACTGCATCTTCCTTCTACTCAGAAACAATATCAGAAGGCTTTGACGTCTTCTTTGATGGAATTTGACTTGCAGAAACATGTGGCTCCATGTTAGGGATGGAGAACCAGTTTTACACTAGGGCCACTTTTTTAGTTCTGTAGTGGATAGACAGCTGGTTAGATTCTGTCTGCAGAGCCAGAGGCTGGAGTTCAATTCCCCACTGTGCATCCCAGAAAAGTCAGCCTTTGTAGACCTGGCAAGCTGCACTGTCCCAGGATGCCCCCAGGAAAATGAAATGGTAAACCCTTTTGAGTACTCTCTACCTAGAACAGTGGTTCTTAACCTTTGTTAAGGTTGTTCTTAACCTTAGATGTTTTTGAACTGCAACTCCCAGAAACCCCAGCCAGCACAGTTGGTGGTGAAGGCTTCTGGGAGTTGCAGTCCAAAACTCCTGAGTAACCCAAGGTTAAGAACCAGTGACCTAGAACAGTGGTCCCCAACCTTGGGTCTCCAGATGTTCTTGGACTACAACTCCCAGAAGCCTTCACCACCACCTCTGCTGCCCAGGATTTCTGGGAGTTGAAGTCCAAGAACATTTGGAGGCCCAAGGTTGAGGACCACTGACCTATAAGACCCTGAAAAGAGTCACCATAATTAGAATTGATCTGACACATTATGATGATGAGTGGATAGATGGCCACACCTAAAATATATACAACTCCTACCTAATCCCTTAAAACTGATACAATATTACCTTCAGAGCTCCTGCTCAGTTCTCCCACTACCAGCTAAGGTGCAAAATCACCACCATACAAAGAATCTTTTTAAATAAGATTTATATACTGAACATTTCCATCAGATATCTTTAATACTGCACATCATAAGACACTAAAAATGAAGAGCCAGATCAGATGTAATGCACTATCTTCTACACGTTCAAAAATCATTTTCTACAACTAAAAGAAATGTATCAGTTGGAACTGCATAGCCATTGCTTTGATGGAGGGAAATACTGATTCTTTTCACTGTGTCATTTTCCCAGTCTGAATTTCCGATTCTGTGTTGCTCGGGGATACATAGATACTATATGTGTATGTCCTGTTACTGTTAATTTTTTTAAGCAAGCAAGCAAGCAAATGGCGGAGGGTCCTGACCATCTTGTTTGATCTTAATGTAGACCATAAAATAATTTATGAAGAACAAATTGCTCCAGTTTACTTTTCAACAAAAGCAGACTTTAAAGATGCTTAATATCCAAATCCCCAAAGATAGCTGTCCTGCATTTGGTGGGTTTACTCTCCTCTTTAGGATCTTATCACTTTGCCAAATTTCAGTCACTCCAGTACAAAAACCAAACAAACAAACAAAAGGTACAGCTATGCTGGTTTTCCAGTGCAAATCAGTGGAGGACTTCACAAATCAGTTTGGATCAGTGGCACAGATTTAATTTGAAGGGACATAAATCATGTCAAACCTCAACAGGATCCATTCCAAAGCCCTGAATTAGACTCAAATGAATCAGAAGAGTTGCACACCACCCTGCTTCTCATAGGGAGCTTCATTCCAGGAGCTGTGGGGCAAAAATGATAGTTTTCAAGCTTTGATTTTAATCCTTACCTCCTTCTGTGATGGAGCATAAACTAAATCACCAGATCAGTTTCCAGCCAGGCATTGTTCAAACCTACATGGCTTAACTCCAGCTACATCCTTCCAACAGTTGCCTGAAGACCATGTTTTGAGATCAGTAGTAAAAAGGGCTGCCATGCTACCTTGTTTATACACTTTATCACTGACAATCAGATATTGGCTGATGTGTTAGATAAGAAACTTCAGAATTTTATGTACACAGTACTTTGTGGTTGATGCTATTTGTCCACTTTATAGGCTCATACTGAGCAGACAGCTGTAGCACAAGTAGAGAATAAGGCTATTTTACTGGCTCAAGATCACACAGCTCACATTTCATCATTCTGGTATGCACCTTGCCTCCTTAAATTGTGACTTTACTGATTTCTGAAACTATAGGAGGAAAGTCAGAGCTGGAAAAATCCTTCAGCTCTCCCATCTGTTGGGCCTATAATGAGCCTGATCTAGACATACAAGGCCATGTGACACACCTATAAAGTGGATTTTCTACTTGTGGTGGCTTTGGTTTATTCTTGATGGTTGTCTGCAAGATCGGAAAAGCTGGGCTGAGTGTAGCCTAAAAATGGGAGGCTATAAAATCAACATCTTTAAATTTAAATCTTTAAATTCCCGTATGTATCACAACAGAAGAAATGGATAGCTGGACCACTGTTAGATAATAAGTACTCATGATGAAAAATGATGATCCATCTTTAAGTCCTTAATGAAAGTGTCTTTGTCAGCTGTTATTCAAAGCCAAGTTGATTATCCCAGAATACCACAGAAGGGTGCATAATGGAAATTAAACTGTTGGTAAAAAATAAAGAGCCGAAATTCACATATATTCAATACTGTCTTTACAATATTAGCAGCTCCTCAGTGAAAGGTCAGATACTTAAGTGAGATGTGCCTTTTCAACTGTACATTGAAGCATTTTTAAATTATTATTAAGGTCACCTGTACTGCATCACTTTAATTAAGTTTGCTATTTCATTAACTTTTAACAAGCGTGTCATCCAAACTGTAAATCATCAAATCATTCACTTTCATGCCAAGCTCAGTAAAGTTCTGTATTCAGAAAGGTCTTTTCCATCCCCACCCCTAATACCATGTTCTTCTCCAGAAAGAAGTGAGGAAATCACACAGCTGGTAACAAAAGTGGTATTGTCTTCACAATACCACTGACATTTTGGATACAAGCATATTTTTTAAAAGGGAGAGAATTCCAATATTCACAAAGTCCTATCAAACCAAAATCAGTCAAGTTATGAACATTAATCATGTTAGTGATTTCCTTTGTTAAACAGAATGACTGACAGATGAGTGAGAGCTAATGTTTGGGAGTCATCCAGAATTTTCTCAAGTATTAGCTATCAGACTTTGGATCAAGTGACTGGTATTCCTGGTGTAATTTTGGTTTTAATTTCTGCACAGTTAGGAACTCTATCAACTCCTAATACACATATGCACTAGATTCAGAGGTCCATCCATAGACACATCTTTAGATCCTATCCCTTTCCCCCTACCCAACCAACCTAGTTTCACTGTGGTCTCCAACAACACTTCTAATAGTTCCCCAGAAAGTATATACTATTCCAGTTTAAGTTGATACATTAGTTAGAGGTTGAGTACTTAATCATCTCACTAGACAAACTATATCAAATCATCCTCCGATCATGATAGTAAATATGTACATGTGCTCAAAGCATTTCACATACGCTATGTCATTGAAATCATTGCAACAAAGTCGTAAGGCTGGCTACTGATCTCTCTGGCAGACAAGAGCTGTGGCTCAGACAGAAGAACTTATCTGAGGCCAATACAAGCATAGGCCAATGGCAAGACTCATCCACGGGACTCTGAAGCCCAATCTCTCTTACACTAGGTTATGTCAGCTCCTTTACCAGTAATCCTTGGTGATGATTGACTGTTATACTCTACTTGCTCTTGAATGCCAAAACTTATAACCCCAACAGTATGATGATCTTCCCAACATGCAATCCAGAGCTCCTAGGGCAGGACACCTTTAAGGAGGAGAATGGAATTGCAACCCACCAAATATTGTTGTACCATAACTTCCAACATTGCCAATGGTGGAGACTCATGGGAGTTGCAGTCCAACAATATCTGATTTAGGATTACACTGAAGCACTTTCTTATGCCACAAAGGGTTTAATTATATTGGTCAGAATCCTATTAGTAATCATGTAACTTTTATGTAACTTGCCACGGCCAATTGTGGCTAACTTTGGGGGCTAACTGGCAAGATGCCAGGGCATATGTCAGTTGGGCATTTGCTCCAGCACCTCAACAATTAGCCACAATCAGCCATTGCAATTAGCTGCCACCACATTATACCACCTTTATGTAAATACCAATAGAATTTTAGCCATATCCATTTTAATTACAGCCATTCAGCAGCTTCCATGCACTGCAAAAGGTCCACAAAATTTAAAATAAAAATAAATCCATGGTTTGGAATTTCAGTAGCTTCCTATCATATATTCCTCTGGGATAATGAATACTAACAAGGTACAAAGAAGACAATCTCTCACTACCAGGATTAGTCATTCTATACAAGCCAAGCCCGCCACCTTGTGGCACACTGGAGCAAGTAAGAAAAGCCCTGCTACCTTCAGGGTCCTGCCACCATAGAACTTCTTTTTAAGGGGCAAGTAAAAGGCAGGCACTCGTATTAGTCAAGTATAAAGCCTGGACACAATCTAAAAGTAAAGACCACGCTATAGGCAGGAAGCAGCAGAAGCAAGGAATGATGGGAAGAGAAGCAACGCAGGAAGGCACCCATCAAGGAAGCCTCCTATCCAGCAGGGTATATAAGGAAACCGGAGGAGGAGTTAGGGCATTTGGATGATGGGATAAGGAAGAGAGATTGAGAAGACTGGGTGGCTGCTCCTAAGCAGGGAAGTTTGGAGCATGGTGCAGAGGCATTTACTGGTTTCATGATTTCAGGATATAATTCTTCACTGGCTGATTGTATCCTGGAATATCTAAAGGATCTCAGACTTGAGGAGCCCAAGGATCCCCCCTAAAGACTGAACTGAAACTGCAGGATGCTAGAAAGACCCTGAATCAACACTGTTGCCTGTGCAAGGAATGGCAGTGCCAGCAGTTGCACCAATTGATGTGGGATAGAGGAGGCCGAGAGTATATAAGCCATAACACTGTTGGACTTCAAACATTAGCTGATTTTCCATTCCTATGCAGGGGAGAAACATAGTAAATATTTCAAAATAAATATTGTGTTTGATGTTTTTAATGTTTTGATCAGGATTCTGAGCTTTTTGTTAAGCAAAGAAACATTCTGTTAAGTAAATAAACAGTGGTATCTTTTGTGATACCCATCCCTCCCAGACAAAGCATACCCCTTCACATGTGCACAAAGATCTCACTGCAGGTAGCACATATTCTCCCACAGATTTTGAACTTCTGAAGGAACCAACCCACTGAGCACAAAGTTCTGCTTTGTTCAAAGCCAATTGCAGCTCTGTAATTATATTTTATATTTGAACTGAAAGACAAAATGCAAGCACTAAATGCTCTTATTATGAATGAGATACATAAATAGGAAAAGTAATTCTCATCCGTAAACAATCAGTTCAAATGGCAGTTGTAACACTAACAGAAAAGTCTCACTGAGGCAAAAAGCAATTAACCACAAACATGTTTAAGTAACCAATCCCCACATATTCGTCTATATTTTCAAATTTTAAAAAGGTTCATGCTTTTGCAGCCTAAAATATCCATTTATTTAGAACATATTTTTGCCAACAGCACTGTATTAAATTTAAACAATAAACATCCAGCATGTTTACTTTTAAAATAAAAACAATTTCTTACATTGGTTCTCAAACCACATTAAAAGAATGACTGACTCAAACTGTTCTTCAAGTTACACAATTCTTAAAGGGGAAAGAATAACAAGAATATTCTTCTCTACCCTATCTCAAACAAATACACCCTGTGCCTAGAATAAATAAGCAATTTTGTTACAAAAATTCTCATAAAATAATTTTATCATGCAGCTAGAGATATGTGATACAAGAATGGAGATGTAATAATAGCTGCCTTCAAACATGTGATTTCAGTCTTCTGTCCCATTGAGTCCCACAAATACTCAATGCCCAGATTAGTTTTTCATACAAATATCTACAAATAAATGGCACCTACATAATCTGAAATCTGACTCCTAAAACACTGATTTGGATCTAAGATAAGTGAAGTGTACTGACAGCCGACTGAGATCAATTGGAACTTCAATCAGTCTTCACTACTTTTTTACCCTGATTTAAATGAGACCCACATCCAACTAAGAAAGTTTAGATTCATTCTATTAATTCTAAGCTACAATCCCTGTGACTCTCAGATACTGTAGCTCTCCATTTCTTTTGAGAAAAGGCTCTCAGTCCTTACACATGGGGATCTCCCATTCTGTATACTAAATGGTTGCTTTCTCCGAGCCCTCAACTATGTGTCAGCAGAGGAGGATGTTCAAATGTAAAATCAATGGGACATTGTTTAATATTGCGGTCACTGTGTTATTAGCAAACAAATAAGCAAAATCAAGAAGGTGTGCTCCATTTAAAGCATTGTTTACTGGAACTACCTCTCATTCCAAACAGTATACATCATATGATTTTTCCCCAAAAAGTTAAAAAAAACCCCACACATTCTTTATATTTGGTCCATAACTAAAAATGGGGTAAGAAAAAAAATGGACCCATTCAGTTATATATACAATTTTAACATACGGGATAGCTTTTGGCAGTAATGGAAGTAGAGGAGAGTCAGAAATTTTCTGGAAATAGCTATATTAAGCACTTGATTACTAGTTCTGTTTTGGAGATTGGGTTTTCACTATCTTCAAATCAGTTTCACTGTACCTTAGTGACAAGCCATTTTAAGTCCTATTTTCAAATAATCAACAATTCTAAAAGTGTTTTTAACATAGAAGCATTTTAAAAAGCAGATTTTACCACCATTATAAAATGGATGGTAGTAGCAGCTCTTAAAGCAAGATTCAAGCATGTTTGAAAAGTGTTCAAGTAGAAAATTAGCCTTCTTTATCAAAGATGTCCACAACTTTGCCAAAAACCTGAAAAACAAGACATTAAAGAACAACATTTTTGTGTTAGAACCAACAAACATATGACATGTGTTCTAAAGAAACTTTACTCAGGAAAGTATTTGTTTCACCTAACTGCTGTGTCCATGAGGTTTAATTCAGGGTACAAATCTTCTAGTAGACAAAGGTAGACTGACAGCGCCTAAGCCAACTAAAGATGATGAAATAACTAACATTTTGATAGCAGTGATGAGGCCAAACTGGAAGCAATTCTGCCCTTTTCAAATCAGGAACAGAAGTGGTTGCAGGTGTCATGGTGTTGTTGTTTCACCTAACTGCTGTGTCCATGAGGTTTAATTCAGGGTACAAATCTTCTAGTAGACAAAGGTAGACTGACAGCGCCTAAGCCAACTAAAGATGATGAAATAACTAACATTTTGATAGCAGTGATGAGGCCAAACTGGAAGCAATTCTGCCCTTTTCAAATCAGGAACAGAAGTGGTTGCAGGTGTCATGGTGTTGTCATTTTAATGTTTGTTGTTTTCAAAGTTTTAAATGGTTTTAAAGTATTTAATTACTTTATATTGTTCTTATTGTTATACTCCACTGTGAGATGTCAGGATATAGGGCAAAATACAGATGCCCCAAATAAATAAATAAATAAAACTTCTATCACTCAATCTCAAGTAAAGTCTCCATCTTCCCAGTTGTCTCCTTGGCAATTTGTTAGTTATATCAGTTTGAGAGACTGACTGCAATAAATAATCTGTAAAAGGAGTTGGTGACTTTGTGGGGCTACAATAGAACCTGGGGAGGTGTTGTCACACCACTGCTAGGGATGTATGGAATTTGCCACTACTGCCACCAGAATCTGGGAGGAACTGTGACACCTCTGCTCTCTGCAGAAGAGTGCTGGAGTCTCCTTCAGATCCACAGTAGCTTGCATATCAGCAAAGCCAATCATCTTCTTCTTTTCTCAAAGAGGTCAAATGTTATTGCCCTGATCTATAATGGGGATTGTAACCTGGTCTCAATCCTGAAATACAGTGGGCCCTCGGCTCATGAATGGCCCTAGTTGCAAACATTTCAGGTTACAAACCTGATCTCATCACAAGTAGCAGACCCTACTTGCGAACGCAGATCAAGTTACAAACCCAAAAGGCAGGCAGAAAGGGCGGGAAGTTCGAATTTCCTGCCCTTCCTCCCTGCCTTTGGAGCTTTCAAAAGGCTTCCTCCGACATTGGCTCAGCATCAGGTGAAAGGAGGGAGCCGAGTTCTCCCCAGCTGCCCAGCTTGCTTTTCCATGGGAGCACTTTGGCTGGAACGAATTAATTGGTTCCCAATGCATTCCTATGGGAAACGCTGGCTCGATTTACGAACTGACTTCCGGAATGGATTAAGTTCGTAAATCGAGGGTTGACTGTAGAATTCTTGAAGTACAAGCAGAAATCTGTTGTCACATCAGCTACCATGTCATCCTTTGTTAGATATAGTAATAGCATCCATCTCCTTCTGTGTGCACCCTTGCCTGAAAAGGCCTCTTACATGATACCTGTGTGTTACATGCTTTACATCAGTGCTGACATTGCTTATTTGGTAAGAGAGAAATCTCTCACAAGGAAAGTATTAGGTCCCTTTCTGGGGACCTTTCTTTCTTTCTTTCTTTCTTTCTTCTCTCACAAGGAAAGTATTAGGTCCCTTTCTGGGGACCTTTATTTATTTATTTTATTTATATCCCACCTATCTAGTCAATTAAGACCACTCTAGGCGGCTTAGAAATATGTAGTACAAACCTTTGCTCTGTTGTGTAGCAGAAGCCATAACAGAGATACCAGCAAGGAAAGGTGCTCTGACTTGCTGTCAAGACATTCCAGTTTTAATACTAGACACATAATTAACTGGATTTTCCTTCACACTCAGGGAAAACAGTCAATTACAATCTAAATAACTGAGAAGGCTCCTGAAGTTTGTGTGCAATTTAAAGGGTTTATAAGACAGTACAAAAAAATACAACACAATTTTTCATTGCAACTTACTTCATCAACAGATTTGGAGGCATCCACTTTTCTAACCTTCCCCATTTTCTCATATAGGTCTATAATGGGCTTAGTAGACTCTAAGTACGTATGAATTCTACAGAAATAAAATAAAAGAGAAATGTCACATAATTGAAAAAGGATCAAAAAGTCAAGCAGTAAAACAATGTATGCAGAGAGTACCTTTTCTCCAAACTCTCTCTGTTGTCATCACTTCTGCCACTACTTTTTCCTCTTTCAAGGCAGCGGTCAATACAGATCTCCAAACAAAAGAAAAAAGGAATTTCAAAACATGAAACTGAAGGCAGTAGATAAAAATTTTGAAAAATATTTGAGCTTTTTTCAATTCTACAGAAATAATGCTGTATGTTAAACAGTCTGTTTGCACATATATTAATAGGTATTAGCCACTGGAATACACATACAATCCACCCTGTTTCCCCGAAAGTAAGACCTAACCTTAAAATAAGCCCTAGTATGATTTTTCAGGATGCTCGTAATATAAGCTCTAGACCAAAAATAAGCCCTAGTTAAGTGAAACCCCGCACTCCACCATTGTGCAGCAACCAGAAGATGATGATATGACTGTATTTGAATAAATGTAGATTGTTGTACATGAAAAAAGTAAAAATTAAACATCCCCTGTAAATAAACCCTAATGTGTTTTTTGGAGCAAAAAAATAATACAAGACCCTGTCTTATTTTCGGGGGAACACTGTACCTAGTAGAGCACCTTTAAAAACTCATTGAAATAAAGAATGTAGGCTTTGCTTTAAAGCATTTAAAATGGGAAGTGAACATTTGTTTCAGACAAAGGTAGCTTTCCCTAGATTTTAACTCTGACTAAATCAAAGTGCATCTTTTAAAAATGATCTGGAGTGAATAAGGTTGTCCCTGAAGATGGCAAAAAAACCCAAACCCTGCAACAAGTTAACTGATGTGTAGTAGCAAATGACTTTGCTGACATCTTAACTAGTAGCAATTTGTCGCTGAGACTTACATTAATAGACTTGCACTATAAGATGCAAGTAACAGGATACCATCTGGAACCTATAAATAAATCTGGATTGTAATACTGACTTGTTTGGGAGAGACAAGCAAGAATTTAGGTTTTTCCTTTGTTTACTTATTTATGCTAGCACAAGAAGCAAATCAGAACACAACCTACTCATAGTATGTCATGATTTGATATGGTTATCACTATCCATGAACACATTGTGTGTATGTCTGCATGTGTATTTGGATGTATGTGAAGGAGTCACCTCTGGTACCCTAAGCAAGCCCATCTGATTTTTCATAGCATCCTGACTCAGGGGGTACTGGCCAGTCAACCTGTACCCAGGGGAATGAAACAGCTGGAGGGCATGAGAACGGACACCTGGGGAAAGAGGTCAGGGTTGGGCTCTGTGGACACTTGGGGACCATGAAGCTAGGGAAGATAGAGGGGGAGAACAAGACAGGGTATGAGGAACGAGATGCTGGAGATCTGGAGCAGGACATGGCCTGAGCAATGTCATGGAAGGGCCTGTACCAGCCTTCCTAGTGGAAGACATCTTCGAGTATGCCCATGATAGAGATCCCTGACTGGGGTCACAGCCAAGGGGCATGTTTCTAGAGGGACAGCAGGAGTCTGCACTGCAGGGCAGAAACATTGATAGCCACCACCACACCAGGGCTGTCACCAAGGGCTCCCCAACCCTAATTCAGAAAAGAGATTGGAGATGCCAATGACAGCATCAACAGTAGCGTCTACAGGAGCTGCAAGGAGTCTGCCTCAATCCAAGGCTAAGGATGACAATTTAATATGTTGAGTAATAATGAATCATTATTATATGAACCAAACTATACTTCTTACTGAATAATTTCAACATTGTTTTCTTTAAAAGTAAAATATTAGCTGTACATTTTCTGTATAATGCCTTAAATAGCACATTCTTCTTAGGTCAAAATAGGAAATATTTTCTTAGATTACATAACTGGGGGATGGGTGGCTGGACAGCTTTTATTTTTCCCTGGAGATTACAGAAAGTTCAAGTTTGCAAAAAATTATGTGAACTCCCACTAGATCAAAAAAGGTAATCTATGAGTTTCAACCCTTCTGGCAACTAACACTACTATTAGGTAGCTCTCAATGTCAGATGAGTTAGTCATAAAATTATCTTGGCCTTGTGGGGGAGAGTAACCAATTCATCTGATATCAGATAATTGATATCCAATACAGAGCAGACAAGAGATACATTTAAGAATAAAATATTATTCATCAGACCCTTTCACATAGTATACAAGAAAACTGAAAATCTATTTATATTATGTTTACCTCATTATCACAATCAAAAAAGAGAACAAAAGACACATCTGCTTTTCCATCCATTGTTTTGTTCCATCCTTGTAGGTTGTCTTCATTTCTGGGAAATCCATCAATTAAAAATTTATTCTTCTGTGCATTGGCAGCCATTGTTTCATCCATAACCTAACAATTCACAGAACATTCAGATTAAAGCACAGAATAATATGGATATGTTTAATATAATATTCCCCCAATAGATTCAATAGTTCAAAATTTTCCAGATGATATGTCACATTACTACGAAATGTTAGAACCATAAAAGAATTTTATACAGCTTTATGTCAATGTTCTTACTAGGCTCTTATGAAAAATATTAAATTGAATGTGGTTATGCACAGGGGAAAGGTTTGATTCATAACTCACTTCAGTGCTTTAAATAACAGCCCAGGTCAATTCAGAGCTCCAGAAGAATAAATGAAATAGACCTGAACATCCTATCACTCAACAGATGAAATATTTAATCTATAGCCTCTACAAATGAACTTTTTAAGCTACTGTGTAGAGCATTAATTAATAAACATGAAAAAGATTTGATTCATAACCAAATTTATTGCTTCAAATAGGAGCCCTGGTCAATTCAGAGTTCAATAGATAGGGTGGTTTCATTAAAGCCCAAGAAAGAACTTTGGTTTGTTTTTCAAAGCTTTGGTTGTCCCTTCAACTACTTTAATGGGAAAATTAGCAAAAGACTATAATATATAATTGAGGAGCATAATAAATGACACTTGCAAAGTCGTTTTGATTCATAGACTAGGTTTCATCTAAATACTTGTACACAATAATAAAATAGTCCTCAACGTTAATGAAATAGTTAATAAAATAGTCAATAAAATACTCCTCAAAGAGGTTTGGGTTTTTTACTCCTGAATTATGGTGCTCATAACAAAAAAGTATTATTTCATAAAAAAAATAATCTGCCCATCTTTCACTTTATTTTTAGTTTCTGTTAGTTACTAATAAACGGCAAACAATATTTAATTAAACTGTACTGATATATTGTTGCACCTTTATAAAGGAAACTGGACACCAAAGGCAGCAATAGTTTTAATTCTTACCCTCTTTAACAAGCTGATTGTTATCTCAACAGGTACAATCTTCCCTTCTTTAATATAATTTTCAATAAGCTCTCCATATTGAGAGCCTGGTCTTTTTCTCTCATCTCGAAGAAGATCACCTGCAGAGAGGTGGGTGTAACCATATTTCTAGAAGAAAGAAATGAGCATGTAATCAACTGCACAACCCAGAAAACACAGGTCTGTCTCAACAAGATGAATATCAGTTCTTATAGTCAAGAGGGATCTGGATATAATAAATCCGATACAATTTGAGTGTTACTACACATTGACAGAGATGGAATACTGTTTATCACTACCGTGTTCCCCCCAAAATAAGACAGGGTCTTATATTAATTTTTGCTCCAAAACACGTTAGGGCTTATGTTCAGGAGATGTTTTATTTTACAGTCATGCCATCTTCTGGTTGCTGCACAATGGTGGAGGGCGGGGTTTCACTTAACTGGGGCTTAGTTTTTGGAGTAGGGCTTATATTACAAGCATCCTGAAAAATCATAATAGGGCTTATTTTCAGGGAAACGATATTATGCATGGAGGAGGAGAATAGGGTGATTTTCATGTCTTTACCTTCCAAATGTAAAAATACAGAAAATCCACGAAAATAAAAATCATCACAAATGGGACCTATGGCTGAATAGCTGTTTGGGGTTGATCCTGTGTAAAAATCATGTGGATCCAAGAACTGCTGGATAGGCAGGCCTCTGGCTGTGAAGCCAGTTCAACTCCCCACACTGCCTCCTTGTCAGGGACTGGACTTGATGATCCATAGGGTTCCTTCCAGCTCTAAGGTTGTTAAAATGGTGGGAAAAGTTGAGAGCAGGAGGAAATCAGGAAGACCAAATATCAGATGGATTGACTCCATAAAAGTTGGAGGCTTCCAGCTTTACGAAAGCTGAGCAAGTCTGTTGTGGATAGGACATTTTGGAGATCACTCACTCATAAAGTCGGCATAAATTGGAGGTAACCCGATGACATTTAACCTTACTTTAGCATAGTAAGTCACTGCTATAGTAGCCCAATTTGAATCAATGGAACCTTCATAGGAGCTGCCTCACTAAATACCCATTGGTTCAATGGGCCTATTCCAGTGCAATTTACTATAATAAGTAACAGGATTTTGATCACTGGGTGAACTAGAGTCAGTCCTTCTCACTCAGGGTTGCTACTGTGAGGATAACATGGGGAGGATAGCCATGTTGCTGAACTGCCCTGCCTTATAAACATAGCTAATAAAATAGATAACAATAATGACAAGTTCTTCCTCCACTTTTACATCGTATTTATTATATTGGTAATCATTTCCCAAATATAGTGAATGTGCACTTTGTATCACACCCATGCTGTAAGATAAATATAATCATGACATCTGACTCATTCTTTATTTCTCAGCTAGATAACTCCCAAAGCAGCTTTTCAAAGGTCAAATGATGCCAGAAAATGTACTGCAATTTTAAAAAAAAGTTATGTTTACAAACACAAAGCCTGCTAATGACATCCCATTTGTCCTAAGAGAAGGGCCTGACTAGATCAACCTTTGGTCTTTTCCAATAAGGCTTTTTTGTTTGTTTGATTGATTTTTGTGCCAGAAAAGATAACCTGTACTTGTCTCAAATCCCAATTACGCATATATAATTTTGAAGTTGGACAAACTGATAGATCTTTCTCTATTCAGAAGTCTGAACAGACTGGGAGCATATTAAGACTATACAGTATATTGAAAACAGTCTGAAACATGTTTGAAGCCCAACAGACCATCTTACAAAGAACACAGAAATACAGTATGTAATTTTCAACAGAAGTTGAAAGCTTTTATAAACAGTTCCTAACCCTTGCAGAATATGCTGTTTATTAGTTGGAAGTCACAAGTCTCAACAGCTTTCAAATTGCTTACAGTAATACAAACATGTTCCAAGACAAATCACTCCAAAGTGCAAAGAATACTCTACAACTGAAAGAAATTCATTTGAAACTGAAACTCTAACGCTAGGTGATAGAAGCATAGTGTGTGGAAGCAGCTAGTGAACCTGAAATGGGAGGACTCCAGTGACTTTACAGGAGACATTATGCAATCTATCAGACCAAGGTGCACAATAAACTGTCTCCTCCCATAAAAACCTGCCTGACCTACTCATCAAAGCCTCTACTTCAGGTGCCTCTACCTTCCTAATTTCTGTAGATGACTACTGGGCCATAGGCGACAGGTCCTTTCCTGTGGAGGTGCCTGCTTGCCTCTGAAATTTCTTCCCCTGAGCATACCTCCGACAAGAGATCAAAAAAATTAATTGGAAAATCCAATTTCCAAACGCCTTTAAAGACTATTAATTTGTTGATTGCTCACCGTGGGGCTGTCGCTGTAACATGCGAAGCCAACACTTCTTAAAAGGATTAATAACCCAATTCAGAGGCAAGACAATTAAGAACTACAACGCCCACCATTCTTTGCGCGCGGGCTGACCAAGCTTCCAAGCGATGCTAAGGACGCTCTGCTTGCTAGAAATTGTAGTTCTTCAGCCGAGAAAAAAAAAGGGATGAAGAAGGAAAGAAGGCAAAGGAGGCGAGATGCCCTTGCTGTCCCCCTTACCGCCACAATGCGAGCACACTGCGTTCCCTTTCCGGCCCCAGGCCCGCCGAGAACGAACACCACCGCCGGTTTCATGAGGAGACGCCGCCGAGGAGAAAGGGCAGAAGCGGTGCCGAGCCGAAGCGTCCCGAGGCTGACACGAGCTGCGCTAGCCAAGGAGGAGCAGCAGCGACGACAGAACATGCGCCGGGAAAGAGGGAGGGAGGGAAGGCGGCTTGGAAGGGGGTGCCGGACTCTCAGCCTCTCCTGCCGCTGCTGCTGCTGCCGCCGCTGCCGCCACCTCACTGCTCGGGGCTGAGGTGGCTGGTGAAGTGGCAGCAGGAAAAGGGAAAGCGCTTCCGGGTGCCGGCCAGTCCAGGCACTCTCTCGCTCCTGGGGGAAGAGGGCCGGGAAAGAGGGAGGGAGGGAAGGCGGCTTGGAAGGGGGTGCCGGACTCTCAGCCTCTCCTGCCGCTGCTGCTGCTGCCGCCGCTGCCGCCACCTCACTGCTCGGGGCTGAGGTGGCTGGTGAAGTGGCAGCAGGAAAAGGGAAAGCGCTTCCGGGTGCCGGCCAGTCCAGGCACTCTCTCGCTCCTGGGGGAAGAGGGCGCGGGACAAGGGCGGGCGGGCGAGGGAGCGAGGCGCCGGGGGGCGGGGCCACGGCCGGGGACGGGTCCTCTCCTTCCGCCCGCCCCTCTCGCTCCTGGGGGAAGAGGGCGCGGGACAAGGGCGGGCGGGCGAGGGAGCGAGGCGCCGGGGGGCGGGGCCACGGCCGGGGACGGTTCCTCTCCTTCCTTCCCGCCCGCCCGCCTTGCGTTTCAAAGGCTGAGGGGAAACTCGGCGGAAGGCGAGCGAGCGGGATTGGCTTCGGCTGAAAAGAAACCTGTGGGCGGCAAGGAGAGGCGCTCCCAAGAGTAGCCGGAAATCACTTTCTCGAGATAACACTGTTGTCAAGAGTGGGCGATACCTTTTATTGGGCCACTAAAAGAATCAAATAAATCGCCAGGAAAAAAACCCCATTTCTTCAGGTTTAGCACAATCCATAGTGGAAATATTGTAGACAAGAGTCCAAAAACCGGTGTAGTCCGTGTCTATCCTCTAAAGCTGCGGTCTCAAAAGTAATGTTTTCAGCTGGTGAGCATAAGAAGCTGTTTCTTCATTTTGTAGTCACTTCATTTTGTAAGCTGATTTGAACCAACTTGATTGGTCTTGAGAGTCCATGTCTTATAAGTGGTGCTGTTTGGGGCCATTAATTGTAGCCTTCTCAATATTTTTTTAAGTAGTACTGTATATTGTAGATTTAATCTGCTAAATAATAGAAGTGTACTATTCATGTTTAAATTCAGAAACTACTCTATGCAAAATTGGAAGGAATATGTTTTATTCCCCATTGGTTTAGGAGACTTCTAGGATAGAAGCAATTAACAAATATTTTTAACAACTAATATGTTAGAAGGAGTATAGGACTGTTTTGTCACTCCAGTTGCCTTCCAAATTATTGACAGCAGAGACCTGTTGCACTATTTGACTTTGCTGGAGAAAAATCAAATTGTGTAGTCCTAAGCATGATGATTAAGATAGCCCTTCCAAAGGTCCATGGTACCATAATGCTGATAGCAGTGCTCGCTTACTTTCAAAATAAACCTCAACAACAAAACTAACTTAGAATACAAATTCAGTAATAACTATACACAATACAAATTAAACCTTCCCTGCCTATGCCACCTTCACTCTTGGAACTAGGTAACCAACTTATGGGACGTGGTGGCACTGCGGGTTAAACCACAGAAGCCTCTGTGCTGCCAGGTCAGAAGACTAGCAGTCGTAAGATCGAATCCACGTGACGGAGTGAACTCCCATCGCTTGTCCCAGCTCCTGCCAACCTAGCAGTTCGAAAGCATGTAAATATGAGTAGATAAATAGGTAATACCACAGTGAATTGTGATGCTGGAGGAGACTCTTGAGAGTCCCCTGGACTGCAAGGAGAACAAACCTATCCATTCTAAAGGAAATCAACCCTGAGTGCTCACTGGAAGGACAGATCCTGAAGCTGAGGCTCCAGTACTTTGGCCATCTCACGAGAAGAAAAGACTCTCTGGAAAAGACCCTGATGTTAGGAAAGTGAGGGCAAGAGAAGAAGGGGATGACAGAGGATGAGATGGTTGGACAGTGTCATTGAAGCGACCAACATGAATTTGGCCCAGCTCCGGGAAGCAGTGGAAGACAGGAGGGCCTGCCGTGCTCTGGTCCATGGGGTCACGAAGAGTCGGACACGACTAAACAACAACAATACCATGGTGGGAAGGTAACGGCGTTCCGTATCTAATCACGCTGGCCACGTGACCACAGAAACTGTCTACAGACAAACGCTGGCTCTAAGGCTTGGAGACGGGGATGAGCACCGTGCCCTAGAGTCGAATGTCAAGGGGAACCTTTACCTTTACCTAACCAGCTTACAACTTTTCACCTCATTCTTTCCAGACATACATTGATTCTTCTGCTGGTGTATAGTCTTTCCCCTTCAAAAAAACATTCCAAGTATAAATTCCATACATCTTTGAAATTGTTAGACTTTACCTTTCCTCTTCTTATTTTCATTTTGCATGTTAACTTATCATTAATTGCTAAGCTCCACATTTCTTTATACCAATCTTCAAGATTAATTAGTTTATCACTTTTCCAATTCTTTGCAAATATTAATCTTGCTACAGTGACCATTATAACCAGAGATGGGAGTATTTGTATACAAATACGAATATCCCTGTACAGCTGGAGTTAATGAGGGTCTAGTTCCTGGGGCCAGACCATCCACTCATGTTTCCGCCTGTGGCAGCCTTGCTCATCCTTCCAATTACTCCTGGAGCGCCACTATCTTCCTTCTCAGCTAGCCACTCCAGGCAAAGGGAGGAAGGACAAGTCTCCCTTGATGGCTGCTGAGTGGCCAGCCAAAGTAGGAAGAGAGAGGGGCTCCAGGAAGGATTGGAAGGATCAGTGAGGCCACTGCCACTGTTCGAAGCGTGAGTGGGTGTTCCGGGGCCAGACCCTCATTAACTCTAGCTATGTGGGGATATTCATATACGAATACCCCCATCTCTAATTATAACTACTAAGTCTTTCTGATATTTTTTCAAATGGCCATTCTTAATTATACAGTATTCAGGAGGGGAATACTTGGTAATAATAGGAAAATTGCATCCAGTAATTTTCCTAATTGCTTTAATAACCAGTGTCCATTCTTCCTTATTTCACACGTCCACCACCTGTGCATATAGGTCCGTCCCTTTTTACTTTTTGAATCTCCAGCATTGAGATGGTATATTTTTATTTATTATATTCAATAGTGGGATTTATTTCCAAATAAACCTGTGCAGAATGGACTGTACCGTTAACTCTGGGATAGAATGTGGAATGTATTTTTACAATATAAACCACAAACAGTTTTTTCTGTTGCTTCCAAATGAGATCTCATTCCTCTTACCCCAGAGGTTGAACATCATTCCAGCTATCAATGTTCTGAAAAACAATGCAAACCAATTTCCAACCATCTTCTGTTAATAAGTTCTCATTCCCATTTATTTTCTCATGAGTGACCACCTCATCTCGCTGCCCCCCTGTATGCTTCTCATTATGTGACTGAAGTGGTTCAGGTTTCTACATTTAATGTGTCTGCTATCATGAAGTTTCATGCATTTTATGATCTGATGATTCACAACAAGCTTATTCTTTAAAGTGTTGCAAAAACACTAACTTTGCAGTAGCCAGCTTAAACTGCAATCATATAGCACTTACCTGGAAGAAAGCGCTGTTAAACTCAGTGGGGTTTCCTCCTAAGTAGGTATGTGTAAGATTGCTCTAATACATTACTAAGCTTGTGAAGAACGTCCCCTTAAAATTAGCTTTCAAGTTAATATGTTTAGGCCTGTACATTTGGCTCTGGGATTTATAGACCAATCCCAACCATATTTACTTAGGGAAGTTTGCGCAGGGAAACGCTTAAGCGTCTGTTGTCACCATGGCAAGAAAGCTACCACGCCTGTCCTGGGCGTTCTTTTTGCCATTCGTCAGTCTTTGCGCTTGCGCCATAGTTCTTACCTCGCGACCGTTTAAAAACCAAGCCGTGGATTTATTTTATTTTATTTTTTGAAAATCCCTCCCACAAGAGGTACGCGCGCACGTATCTGCCTTCGTTTCGATAAGGGCTCTATGATTGGTTACAGGGAACAACGGCGCTATTGATTGACACAACATGACCTATTAAAAGACGCTGGTGGAGGCGGAGCAAGTGTTCTCTGCGTTTGGATTGGTTGGGTAGATTTTGACGCTAAGAAAGAGCTCATTGGTTGAACGTGCCGCCATTGGAGCCGCCAGAGTAGGGAAAGCAGTGCAGGAAAGCTGTTTAATTGCGTTTGGCTGCTGCGCTCGGCTCTGGAGCCCGTTAAGCGTTTTTCCGGTCCATGGAGAGAGGCCCGTGAACGGGAACCGTGAGGTAAACCGAGAGTTGCTTCTTTCTCTCCCAACGGTGTTGTTGGTCGCGCTTTCTGTTGGCTAGCCGCTTTTCTTCCAGCTCCTTCGGTTCCTATGGATAGAATATTGTACTCCCTCTTTTCTTCCCGCCCTTTCCTCAAGTTTTTTGGGGTTTGGGGGTCCTTGTTTCCTCCTGGGAGTGCTGCGGTATATGCATTGGAGTTAGTCATGATAGGCTGATGTTCGTCAGGTGTTGCTCTTTGTCATTCGTTTCTGAGGCATAGTGGTAGTAGTGAGAAAACGTGGTTCAAATAATTTTTATTTATTTATTTATTTGATATATATCCCGCCCATCTGGTGTGGTCGACCACCAGTAACCATTTTACTGGGAACTTCACGTTGGTTTTGGAAACTCTGAGGCCATGGTTAGCTTTCCTCGTTAGGGGGAACAGCACGATTTCTCAGGTGGCAGATTTGGGGAGAATGAAATCAGTAATTATTTTTCAATAGCCATTAGAAACTTTTGTTCCCAATTGCCAGGGTAACGTGTCAGTGTGTTAACGTCTGTGAATTAAGAGCTGTTATCTTAAGGATCAGAAGCTTTTTTTACCTGCCAGCAAAATCATTTCTTAAATGCTGCACAATAAGCTTGTGTTAAAGGTATAGATCTGTGACTCATGTTATGCAAACTGTATTAGTCAAGTGCAGTGGAGGATGAACTAGAAACACCTTGAACTAAATGACTAGCATGATCTCTTTAATTGAAATTGACATAAAGCATGGGATCTTGAATGGCTTACAACTGACAATGTTATTGTGGGTGAAGTTGGGGTCACTAATAGGCAGGATCATTCCTTTGTAATCTTGAAGGTAGAAATTGTTCCTTTTTAAAAAAAGAAAATCCTATGTGTGGTTGTTTAATGAGAACTATCATTGCACAAAGTAACAAATTTGACTATAACCCAGTCATTTGCAGAGATTACAGTAATTTGTTTCCATGTAGAAGTGAACGTAAAATGCTGATCTGAGCTTTTGCAAGAAATGCTACACCACAGTAGCAAAAATGTAATACTGTACTGGGGAAAGATACAGCTAATCAGCTAACCAGTGCACCAGGGCAAATAGAGCAGTCCTGTTACAGTTCAGTCCTCTACTTCAGCAGGAACTCCCCAGCCCATGCAGAGGCTGCCACCATCAGAATTCATTCCCCAATGCATGTGTACAAGTCACAATGAATTATCATTGCTCCCATGATACAGCAGGGTGCTTTTTTAATGGTTTGAAGAAATGGCATTGGAATGACATGGAGGTGAGGGGACTGCTTTACATCCTCCTAGTTTGAGGACTCCTAGCCCCGCAATTGAGCCTGTGGAGTCCCCATCAAATTACGGGTTTGAGAGTTTTTCAGTTTCAAGAATCCCATCTGTTAATGATTCCCAGGGCCGACCATTGACATTGTTTTAAATCAAAATTTGTGATGTAGATAAGTTATATGCAGCTGTTGGGTTTCCTAGAAAACCTATGCTTAGGTGTGGTTGACTGAGGCTAAATAACATTTATGTAGTACATTTCTTTAATTATATGCTAAAATATCAGATGATCTTCCCATGTTTAAATTCATATTTCTTATGCTTTTGCTGTTTTTATTATTTTTAATTTTATTTATTTATTTTTATTTATTTTTATTTTATTTATTTTTAATTTTTGTTTTTTTGCAGGGTAGAGTATTCAGATTTGATATTTTCAGTCTCATGGATCTAATTTCCTCTGTACCTCAGAATCAACGGTAATATTTTGATGGCCTTTTCTATACTAGTAAGGATATATTCAATAGTGCATTCACATGAAGACTTAATAGTGTCTGTGCCCTACTGAAATCAATGGTTCATGCATATCGAAGTCTGCTTTGGTGTTGGTTTGCAAGTACATACAGCATCTGCTGTTTTGTCTTTTTATTAAGGTGTGCTTATCTTTATTATTTGTAGAACATTTATCATAGGAAAGCTGGACAGAGTCTTTAAGCAAGATATCTTTAAATGTTGCTTTTCTCTTCCAAATGTTGATTAGGTAGTCAGCAACCACATGAATAGTAGGAATCTGCTACATGTCATTGTTTGCCAGTACAACTGTTTGTTTCACTGAGTCAATATTCAATTGATTTGTGGATGTTTCGTGTAACTGTAACCATGGGCAATGTGATTGAAAAATCTGAAAAAAAATGCAGTGTATATATTTAAGGCACAGATATATACCTAGTAATAAAAACTTCATGCTCCTATTAGGATAATATGAAACATAATATTCACCTGAAAGTACTGTGTCTTTTCAGCATGGTTGTAATTAAATTTGTCATGTTTATTTACAATATAATTCTGTGAAGTTGTAAAGCACATTTTCTCTTTTCCCCTTCCGCTGTATTTCAGAGTGGTACAGAAAGAGTAATACTCATAGCAAGCACTCTTGAACACTGCATTTATTATGTAGACACTGTGTTTACCTATGCAACCAAACATCATCTCTATATGAGGGAATATGTATGCACAGAACATGCAACCCAGGCTTACAACTACTGTTTCTATTTCAAAAGTGAGCAGGAAGTGTTCTGTCTGAAGTATTTGCATTTTCAAAACAAAAAACTAGCTAACAGTGTCATCTGCTCAAAAAAAGTACAAAGTAACTGTGTCAGTTTCTTTATAACATACATGCTATCTTTTTACATCTTAAAGGACTATTTCATCATTTTGAAAGAAACTTGCAGTCTGCCAACTATTCCCATATCAAAAATAGTAAACCTGTGTGTGTTTTTCAGACATGTTCTGGGAAAGATGGTGCCCTTCAGCTTTCCTCCATCAAAAATTGCACTTTGGAATCCAGCTCCTATTGGAGAGAGCACTCTATCCCATTTGAGTTATTACAGGTATGACACATCTTTAACTTAAAAGGATACTGTCTTGATTTTTTTTTTACTGAACTACCAGTGGCTGACTTAATGAAGTCATAGTATCCAAAAAGAAAACTATGGGCTATTGATTGCAGTTAGTCTTTGAAAAGGTATATCTGACAACTTTTGCCTTCTGTAGTGTGGTAAGCTCTAGATTTCCTGCCTTTCATGGGGTAAGAAATATTACTTGAAGCATTGTACCTCTTTCCTCAGTCAACAGCTTGGAGGCCTCATTCATCTTACAAAGCTCAATTTCTCTTAGAACCATTGCTTGAGCTAAGAAGAGAGTTTAAATTAAATTTTTTTTAATGTGGTTCCTTTTGGTCTGAGAATGCGTATAAAACAATTTCAAATTCCAAGAGCTTTTTTAGGTTATTTCCCTATTTCCTTCCTTTCATTGTTGTTTTCTTTTCTTGTGATGTAGATCTATTAATTTCTCAGTTTTCTTGTGATAATGGTTTGTTATTGGGTATATAACAGAAAGTTCTGACACAATTATTCCAGATATAGTTGATTTTTTAATTGATGCTCTAATTATGTGTCTCCTCAGAAACCCTAAATTAATCATGACTGAGAAAACCCTTCGGCTTGCCCATCGTCATGCTAAGCAAAGTCGAAGACACCCTTTTACCTGTTTCCTAGTTGGAACTCTTGCAATAAGTGAAGGTAATTTGTGAGTGAGGCTACTTTTTAACCAATCAATTTACCACATACCGTACTTATCTCTATGGCCTAGAAATTTATCCCCCATTTCTGCCCAAAACTGTCAATGGCAGTCTTGTGAGCAACACCAAAGAATATTGAACATATGAAATTGCCTTTCTTTTACTTTAACTTCTACCCCACATAAGCACAAGGGATGTTAGTCTCTATGGGGGGGGCACACAGGGTCTTTGATTCCCTAAGGAGGGGAAATCTGTTTCCTTAGGTGAAAACACAATGAAACCTTGCTCCAGATACAGATCAGAACTGATGTAGTAAAATTTATGTATCTGTGGATAGGACTGTTCTACAAATCTGTTCATTGTAGATATTGATACTTTGACATTGACAAAGCTTCTGTTTCTTTTCAGCTTGTTCACATCACTATTAATGCACTGTATAGAAGTGAGGTGGTTAGTCAACTATATAGTCTTTACATAGGTCAGAATTTAAGGTGTATCAAATATGTATCATATTATGAGTAAGAAAGAGGCTGTTCTTTGATATATAATTTTTGGCTTTTGTACATCTTCAACCAATTCTGAAAATCGGTCTTAATTCAGTGTACAGGAAGTGTTTAAAAAATAAACAGTTAACCACAAAGCTCTCTTGATTTGCCAGTTTCTCTCCCCCAGACATCTAGATTGCTAATGAAAATACAGCCACTTGAAAAGTAAAAGGAGTTGCCTTTTAAATCTCTTAAAATGGCAGGTTATGCCTACTGCTTTCCCATGAGCAGATGTGCTCAAACTATTCCTCTGGAAAATACATTGTGGCATCCCCAGGTGCAGATCAGTTGGACTACTCCTATTAGGAGTGGGGAGTTGGAAAAACACAATTTTTGACCCATTATTGACACTGTATTGCCCATGAGGGTAAAAAGCACAAATAGAAATCAGAAAGTAGTAGGATTGTGAGGTGGAGCTGCAGCATCAATGAGTAACATTTGTAATTAAAAGGCTGAAAAAAATGAGAGACAAGTACAGTTAATATTGTTAGTTTATGCAGAAGAGACAACATGCACGTCTCTCATCACCTGACTATATAGTGGCTAGAGCTACTATAATATTCAGGTGTACAGCTGAACATTATTGACAACAGGTATGGGCAGATGTAGCACTCCAAATGCTGGAGTGTAATTCCCATCAGCCATAGCCAGCATAGCAAGTGATGAGGTATGCTGGGAATTGAAGTTTAGCAGGGTCTTGCAGCCCATGCTTTGCTCACAACTAAGAATCATAGCTGTGCACTAACTAGTCTGATAGGTTATTGCATTATCTGTAATTCTTTGAAGTTAGCAAATCAAGAATCAATATGGAATGCAGTTTAATTGTTCTAACTTTTCTGATGCAGATGATGGAGTATTGCTTACACTAGACCGTTTTGACCCAGGTCGTGAAGTAACTGGTGGATTGGGAAAAATACCTACAGCATCTCTTCCTGGAGATTTTTTAATTCCATGTACATTTAGTGCTTGGGGATCTTCTTCAGGTGATGTCATAGCACACAGCTCTGATGATTTCCACTTAGCTTTTAAGGTAAGATGACTATGTTCAATCTGCTTTTTCTGTCATGATTTCTTACTAGAGATGTTGAAACACCTGTCTGCACAAAGGAGCAACAACTGTTCTAGTTTTTACCATGCACTTGGAAGTGATAGTTCTTCACTATCTTTCTCATCAGCCTCATATTTTGCCCATGCCCACCTCCTGCTGTTTTTAACCTGCTGTCCTGTGTTGCACTCTTTCTTGGTCAAAGGAGGGATAAAAATGTTATAACAGGTGCTGCAGTGAGCGTTCCTTGCAACTAAGAGCCTTTGCTTGGGAAATAGAAAAGTTTAGTCTATAAAGGATGACATTGTGGCTTCCCCACTCACCTGTGATCAGACTCTTCTAATGTTATCTGTCTTAGGTTAATTGTGACATTTATTTTCTTTTGTAGATATTGCAACAGAATCTGAATAGCCAAGATTTTTTGGATCCTTCCAAACTGCTGACCTTGAGAGTTCACATCTCTTCAACAGAGAATATGGACAACCTACACTTTGACTTTCACTGGGCAGCTGTTACAGTGGCCAATGTTCTAAAATGCACTCCTGTGAAATCTGTTCCAATAATTCCTACGGCTCTTGCTAGGAACCTAAGCAGCCACATGAATATTACACAAGTTCAGGGATCCTGCAAGTATGGGTAAGCTAAGGTCCATGGCAGTTTATATCAGGGAATGTTCATTTTGTCTAGGAGTCAAATACATTAATGCATTCTTTCTAGGGAGACTTGGAAAGTAGCTTCCAGCTTCTTGAAATTTTCCAGTCTATTTAATATTTCCTAGATGTTTGCATAATTGAGTAGTAAGTAGCAGTCTTTAAAATGGGGATGAAAAATACAGACAAATGAAAAATATTCTCATGGCTGCTTTCATAAGCTTCAACTTAGCTCTTTGTACATTTATTTATTTATGTGTTATGTTTATATGTTTCATTTCTTCCTATGAATTCAAGGTGGCATATCTTTTATTCTCAGAACAATCCTGTAGGGCAGCAGTCCCCGACCTTTTTTGAACAAACAAGCACCACGCCACCATTTGTATGCACAAACGGTGGTGCTATGCTTGTCTGGGTGCTCATGCGCAAATGGTGGCGCTCACGGGTGTGCTGGAGCAAGCAGGCACAAATGGCTGAGTGCATCCGGGAGTGGGGCAGGAGTTCTGTCTCAGCAGCCCGGTCCAGCTTAGCCCAGGACGAGCACCAGGCCGCGGACTGACGGTTGGGGACCTCTGCTGTAGGGTATCTCAGATGGAGAGAGAATGACTGGCCCAGACTTACCCAATGTTTTTTGTGGCTTAAAAAGGTAAAGGTTCCCCTTGACAATTTTTGTCCAGTCGTGTTCGACTCTAGGGGGCGGTGCTCATCCCCGTTTCCAAGCCATAGAGCCAGCGTTTTGTCCGAAGACAATCTTTCGTGGTCACATGGCCAGTGCGACTTAGACACGGAACGCTGTTACCTTCCCACCGAGGTCGTCCCTATTTATCTACTTGCATTTGCATGCTTTTGAACCGCTAGGTTGGCGGGAGCTGGGACAAGCGACGGGCACTCACTCCGTCGCGTGGATTCGATCTTACGACTGCTTGGTCTTCTGACCCTGCAGCACAGGCTTCTGCGGTTTAGCCCGCAGAGCCACCACATCCCAACTTTTGTGGCTTACTAGAGACTAAAACCTGGATCTCTGAAATCCCTACTACAACTCTCTAATGAGTATACTGCATTGGCTACCAATAGGCATAGCAGCACCTGTCTCCTAGGATTGTTCTATGGTGGCGACCTAAGATTCCCTCTAAGACACATGTGACTCTGCCTCCCTCAGCACAGCTGTCTTCCTCCTCTGCACAATGATTATTTTCAGTTGCAATGGAACCCTGCTTGGCTTCTGTATGCAGGGGTGAAGTTGCTCGAGAGGGAGGTTGAGCCCTGCCCAGCAGGGCTGAGAATTAGAGGGTCTGTTGGTGGCAACTTATAAAGATCATGTAATATTATTAGCCCTGCAGGGGTAACATATGGGACCACCTGAAAGCTGCTGGAAATGCTTCCATATACTGATAATTTGAGGCTGTGCTGTGGCATGCAAAAGTGCCTATCATTTGAATTGCCCCCATATTTGAGGAGTTTCCATGTCACTTTTTTATATTCTTGGAAATAGCTGATATGGAAACACTCTTTGTGATAAAGACAGTCCACTTCTTTGTGGTAAAGACAATCCACTTCAGTCCACTTCATTTTGCACATGACTCTCCTCCACAGAGAAACATTCCCAATTCAAAACTTGACCAGTACTTTACACTGTTTAATCACCTTGGCTTTGAAATAAAAACTCATTATACATGGAGGCTGGTTGAATTCCTTTGTGTTGGTAACTTAAAAGATTGCATCTGAACAAGATGGAGAAAAAAGAACAGGATATAGTAATTCTAGAAGGAACAACATCATCAAGCAAAGGAGAAGAAGAGAAAGATGCATTACAAGAACTGAACAGAGAAGAGAAGCACTAGGACAATAAATCATAAATACAAATAAAGAAGATGGAGAATGAAATTGGAATCTTTTTGGTCAACCTTAACAGTCTTAATTCTCCAGAGAAAAGGAAAAAACACATTCTTGCAATTACAAAAAACAGAAATGAATATAATTTGCCTTCAAGAAACTCACATTTAAAAAAAAAACCACTATAATTATTTGGAATACTCAAAGATTGCTGCTGTGTCATGGCTAAGGGGCTTGAGTAACTCAAACAAGCTATGGGCTATGCCATGCAGGGACACCCGACGGGCAGATCATAGTGGAGAGTTCTGACTAACCTCAGTCCACCTGGAATAGGAATTGGCAAGCCACTCCAGTATCTTTGCCAAGAGTACCCCATGAACAGAAACAAAAGGCTAAAAGATACGACGCTGGAAGATGGACCTCTCAGGTCGGAAGGCGTCCAGCATCCTACTGAGAAGGAGCGGAGGCCAAGTACAAGTAGCTTCGGAGCTAATGAAGTGGTTGGGCCAAAGCCAAAAGGACGCTCAGCTGTGGATGCGCCTGGAAGTGAAAGGAAAATCCGATTCTACAAAGAAAAATACTGCCCAGGAACCTGGAATGTAAGATCTATGAACCTTGGTAAGCTGGATGTTGTCAAACAGGAGATGGCAAGAATAAACATTGACATCCTGGGCGTCAGTGAACTAAAATGGACGGGAATGGGCGAATTCAATTCAGACAATTATCATATCTATTATTGTGGGCAAGAAGCCCATAGAAGGAATGGAGTAGCCATCGTAGTCAGCAAAAGAGTGGGAAAAGCTCTAATGGGATATAATCTCAAAAATGATAGAATGGCTTCAGTACAAATCCAAGGCAGACCTTTCAACACCACAGTAATCCAAGTTTATACACCAACCACCAATGCCGAGGAGACGGATATTGACCAATTTTATGAAGACTTACAACACCTTCTAGAAGTGACACCAAAGAAAGATGTTCTTCTCATTGTAGGGGATTGGAATTCTAAAGCAGAGAGTCAAGAGATAAAAGGAACAACAGGTAAGTTTCGCCTTGGAGTTCAAAACGAGAACAAACAGGTCAACACAAACACTCTTTTCCAACAACACAAGAGGTGATTCTACACATGGACATCACCAGATGGGCAATACCAAAATCAGATTGATGATATTCTCTGCAGCCAGAGATAGAGAAGCTCTATGCAGTTGGCAAAAACAAGACCTGGAGCTGATTGTGGCTTTGATCATCAGTTTCTCATAGCAAAATTCCAGCTTAAACTGAAGAGAGTAGGAAAAACCACTGGGCTAGTCAGGTATAATCTAAACCAAGTCCTTTATGAATACACAGTGAAGTGAAGAACAGATTGAAGGAACTTGATTTGGTGGACAGAGTGCCTGAGGAACTTTGGATAGAGGCTTGTAACATTGTACAGGAGGCAGCAAGAAAAATCATCCCAAAGAAAAGGAAATGCAAGAAAGCAAAGTGGGTGTCAAACGAGGCCTTACAAATAGCAGAGAAGAGAAGGGAAACATAATGCAAGGGAGATGGGGAAAGTTACAGAAAATTGAATGCAGACTTCCAAAGCATAGCAAGAGGGCCTTCTTAAATGAACAATGCAAAGAAATAGAGGAAAATAATAGAAAAGGAAAAACGAGATATTTGTTCAGGAAAAATGGGGATATGAAAGGACCATTTTGTGCAAAGATGGACATGATAAAGGTCAAAAATGGTAGGGACCTAACAGAAGCAGAAGATATCAAGAAAAGGTGGCAAGAATACACAGAGGAATTATACCAGAAAGATTTGGATATCCCGGACAACCCAGATAGTGTGGTTGCTGACATTGATCCAGACATCCTGGAGAGTGAAGTCAAGTAGGCATTAGAAAGCATCACTAACAACAAGGCCAGTGGAGGTGATGGGATCCCAGTTGAAATACTGTATTTAAAATCTTAAAAGATGATGCTGTTAAGGTGCTACATTAAATATGCCAGCAAGTTTGGGAAACTCAGCACTGGCCAGAGGACTGGAAAGGATCAGTACATCCCAATCCCAAAGAAGGGCAGTGCCAAAGAATGCTCCAACTACCGTACAATTGCACTCATTTCACACGCTAGCAAGGTTATGCTCTAAATCCTCCAAGGTAGGCTTCAGCAGTATGTGGATTGAGAACTCCCAGAAGTACAAGCTGGATTTCGAAGGGGCAGAAGAACTAGAGACCAAATTGTTAACATGCTTGATTATGGAGAAAGCCAGAGAGTTCCAGAAAAACATCTACAGTACTTGTGCTTCATTGTCTATGCAAAAGCCTTTGACTGTGTGAACCACAGCAAACTATGGCAAGCTGTTAAAGAAATGGGAGTGCCTGACCACCTTATCTATCTCCTGAGAAACCTATATGTGGGACAGGAAGCAACAGTTAGAACCGGATATGGAACAACTGATTGGTTCAAAATTGGGAAAGGAGTACGACAAGGCTGTATATTGTCCCATGACTTATTTAACTTATATGCAGAATACAGCATGCGAAAGGCCGGACTGGATGAATCCCAAGCTGGAATTAAGATTGCCAGAAGAAATATCAACAACCTCTGATATACAGATGATACCATCTTGATGGCAGAAAGTGAGGAAGAATTAAAGAACCTCTTAATGAGGGTGAAAGAGGAGAGTGCAAAAAAAGTCGACTCAACATAAAAAAAACACAAAAAACCAAGATCATGGCCACTGGTCCCATCACCTCCTGGCAAATCGAAGGGGAAGATATGGAGGTAGTTTTACTTCCTTGGGCTCCATGATCATTGCAGATGGTGACAGCAGCCCTGAAATTAAAAGACACCTGCTTCTTGGGAGGAAGGTGATGAATACCTAGACAGCATCTTAAATAGCAGAGACATCACCTTGCCAATAAAAGTCCGCCTAGTCAAAGCTATGGTTGTTCCTATAGTGATGTATGAAAGTGACAGCTGGACCATAAAGAAAGCTGACCGCCGAAGAATTGATGCTTTTGAATTGTGGTGCTGAAGGAGGCTCTTGAGAGTTCCCTGGACTGCGAGGAGAACAAACCTATCCATTCTAAAAGAAATCAACCCTGAGTGCTCACTGGAAGGACAGATCCTGAAGCTGAGGCTCTAATACTTTGGCCAACTCATGAGAAGAGAAGACTCCCTGGAAAAGACCCAGAGTTTCCTGTTGGGAAAATGTGAAGGCAAGAGGAGAAGGGGACGACAGAGGGCGAGATAGTTGCACAGTGTCATTGAAGCTACCAACATGACCCAACTCTGGGAGGCAGTGGAAGACAGGAGGGCCTAGCGTGCTCTCGTCCATGGGGTCACGAAGAGTCGGATACAACTAAACAACAATTGGAAATATCAATGTTACTAGTAGTTTAAAAGGTTAACTTTTTGGGAATATATCTAACCGCAAGATGTGCAACCATCAAAGAGAACAACTACGTAAAATTATTTAAACAAATAAAAACAGACTTGGAAAAATGGAAGAAGTTACAGTTGTCAATGTTAGGAAGGATAGTGACAGTTAAAATGTGTATCTTACCAAAACTATGTTTTTTGTTCCAAACCATACTAATTAAAATAGAAAAGAAATACTTTGAGGATTTAAACAAGATAATTTTAAAGTTTATTTGGCAAGGAAAGAAGGCAAGAATTAAGCAGAAAATGCTACAATAATCTAAAGAAAAAGGATTCAGACTACCAGACTGGGAGCTATATTACCAAGCATATATTTTAGTCTGGCTTAAAGAATGGATCGTTTGGGGGAATAAAAGACTGTTCTCTCTAGAAGGACATGATCTACAGTTGGGCCGTCATGCCTTTTTATGGTATGAGAAAGCCAAAACCCATAGATAACTTTCAAAATTATTATATTAGAAGCTCACTACTGATAATATGGGAAAAGATAAAGAAAATGTACATAAAATACCTAGCTGGCTTTCACCTATGAAAACATTTGTGTACCCAAATCTCAGGAACTTTGAGGAAATTTTATGCTATAAAGATATACTAGATACTGAAATTAAAACCAAAACAAGATCTTATTGCTCAGGGATTGGGCTTGTCACGGTGGCCATTAATGCAAATTAAATCTAGGTATGATAATGATGTTGAAGATGACTTTTATAAAGAACAAATACCGCTTGAACAAATATTGTTAACCTCAGACGATAAACTAATTAAGAAACTATACAAACTGCTTTTGAATTGGAAAATGGAAGGTGAACAGATGAAAGAAACAATGATACAATGGGCCAAAATTTGGGGCACAATATTGAATTGGAGAAATGGCAGAAATTGTGGTATAGAAATTGTAAAATAACAATGGGGACTTCCTATGAAGAAAATCTTTATAAAATATTTAATAGATGGCACTTACCACCTGCGAGAATTGCAAACATGTTTCCAAATATATCTATTAAATATTGGAATAATTGCAAAAATGTTTCCAAATATGTCTATTAAATGTTGGAAATGCAAACAAAAGGTAGGTGCCTATTATGTATAGTGGACATGTGAAAAAGCCAAAAAATATTGGACTAAAATACACACATGAGTGGTTAAAATGCTTAAAAAATGTACAGATTTTAAACCAGAACTGTTTTTATTAGGTATTTTACCAGAGGATTTTGATAAACAGTTTACCTAACACTGCCTGTTGTGACAGCAGCGAGGATTTTATTTGCACAACATTGGAAAAACAAAGAAATACCAATTAAGAACATTTTAGATTATGCAGAAATGGATAGACTCACACTGAGACTGAGAGAGAAAGAAGATTCAGAATGTGGAATTTGTTCAAAAAATGGCTAGAAGATCGGAGAAGGGATTACATCACAAGACGCGAAAATAGATAATTATAAGCAAATCCATGTAACACGATGTTTAACAAGCATGAATTGGATGTAGATATAGTGAAAAACTAATAAAATTTTATTTTTTCGGAGAAGGGATTAAATCACAAGACGCGAAAATAGATAATTATAAGCAAATCCATGTAACATGATGTTTAACAAGCATGAATTGGATGTAGATATAGTGAAAAACTAATAAAATGATATTTTTAAAAAGACTGCATTTTTGTTCCTAATTTGGTTTTGGATATCCTTTTTTTTCTTAATATGTCTGTGGAAAGAATGGCCCTCAGACTTTGTATAGTATTTTAAGAAATGTCCAGGGTTTTTTAAGTTTATTCATTTTGATGTAGGTGCAAAATTTATATGTAAAACAAATGTTTACAGTATTTAATCTATTTTGTGCTTGTGTCCTAATTACGGTCAGTGAGAACTGATGTGCTGATAGGCATTTTAGGATACTTAATTTAACAATTTGTTGATTTAAAAGGCAAACCACTAAGAGGTTTGTAATTTGTCTGAAAAGAAAAAGTTTGTTTTTTACAGATATCTTACTATGGACCAGACTAGGAAGCTGCTTTTAGTTCTGGAATCTGACCCCAAAGCATACACTTTGCCATTGATTGGCATGTAAGTATTTAGATTCATTCCAATATTGTTATTTTGTTTGTTTGTTTGTTTACCACTCCGTTAGTGCACGTACTGCCCTGGTCTTTTACAAGTTAAAAGTTAAAAATCCTACAGACCCTACATAACAGTATCATTTCTTTGTTTTAAATTGACATTACAAGCAAATACGTTATGTTAATGTTTTTGCAGTATATATTCAGATTATGACTGACTTATTTCAGTAAAATGTCTTGAATTACATAAGGCTTTAGTTGCTGTGGGACCGGTGCCTACTATGAGAGCTCAAATAATTTGTTTTCTGTTTTAGCTGGTTGAGTGGAGTATCTCATATCTATAGTCCACAAGTCTGGGCCTACTGTCTGCGCTACTTATTCAGCTCTTCAGTTCAAAAGAGGTGATTATTTTTTCAAAAAGTTTATTTTAATTTATAAATAGTGAGCATATTGAGAGAAAATTTCCTTTTGCTGTTTAGTTATCATCATTCCATTTATCAGAACATGCTTATGCTGCTTTTCTTTTCTAGTTCTCAAATGCCCTAGCTGCCATACATCATTCAAAATAAAGCAAGAAAGACCATAACCTAAAAAGTCAATCACCAGATCTTGGGGAAGTGATTTCTCTCTCTCAGTGGAGTCCCTGTGTGCCCATAACAAGGCTCTCTTCTTTTCTCCTCACTGATACTTGAATTCTGCTCTGAATGGTTCACCAAACAGTGAAACAAATAATAAGGGTTTATGAGGGTTGCATAAGGAGGTGAGATTCACTTTCTCTGGTAATTGTTGACAAATTTCTATGACCAACCTAAAGATACAGGAATATAGCTAAGGATTAAAATTGAATGGCACAGTAAAACATGGCAGACAAGCAACTGAGGCCAAGTTAGATGAATAAAATACTTAACCAACTAGGCAGGAGGACTAGAATAATCAAGTTGTCAAGAAACATTAAACAGAAGAAGAGAAAATAATGTCATCCAAGATACATTGGGAACAATGTCCAGAAAAAGCCCTCTCGTATATCCCAGTCAGAGCTGAACAAAAGAGCAGGTCCATGTGGGAAATGGGTATCTTTCAAGTAACCTGACCCAGATACTTTAAAGCAGTGGTTCTTAACCTTGGGTTTCCCAAGTGTTTTTGAGCTGTAGCTCCCAGAAACCCCAGCCAGCACAGCTGGTGGTGAAGGCTTCTGGGAGTTGCAGTCCAAAAACACCTGAATAACCCAAGGTTAAGAACAACTGCTTTAAAGTTAGTCATCAAGACTTTAATCCTGAAAGTGAAACAGGAGCCACTAAAGTGGCAAAAACAATGGGATTACACACTTGATGAAGTGAATTAGATTGATTACCTGCATTGGTCTTGATTTTAAAAACAACTTGCTAAATTCTGTTTTATATATAAACATTATAATCATTGAGTTTCTGTTCTTGTGAGGGAGCTGTTGTAACCAGATGGCCTTTGTTGTATGGAGTAGCTGATCATGTCTAATCAATGTATCAAGCTGCCTGGTGAATGTCCTTTGTCACTATTGTTTAATTATTGTTGTTCTTTTAAGGGTTCCATCAGAATCAGGCAGCTTTCTTATAGCTCTTTATTCCCTGAAACACAACAGTCCAGAGTTCTATGAATGCCTTCCTTGTGGAGGAAGTACTGAACTAGGTTTCCAGTTGCTTACAAGCAAAGAAAGTTTACATCTGTTCAAAGTAAGTTGCTTGATTTCCAAATGGATCTTTGAAACATGGGTCTAACATGGTTGTGGCAGTGCATAGTTATCAGTATGAATATATTTACAGAATTAGGATGCATAGAAGCATGAGATTCTGAGATATATTTGTTTATAGCTGTCTACATAAAATATATCAGTGACTGCACTCTAGTCATGAATTTGTAATCGTATCTACTTCCAAGGCTAGCAATTTTTGAAAATTCTGTAGCCGTTTTATGGGCTAATGTAACATAGTGGTTAGAATGCTACACTAAGACTGAGAACATCAAATCCTTTATTTAGCCATGAAATTCACTGGTTGATCTTGGACCAGGTATATGCTCTAACCTAATCTTACAAGAATAATAAGCAGATGACAAGGATCAGGGGAACTTATGTGCCATCTTAAGCTTGTACATATTCCAGAAGAGTGGGAGAAAGCAGTAGTAATTAAATGGAAACATTTGGCTGTTTTCACATTTGACCAAACACATGTACATGTAGTCTTTGTACCTTTGAGTAGTTAATACTGTCTACGTATATTATGCATAGACTGATTGTTTCTCCTTCCCCCTAAGACAAGTAAAAGATTGGTTTTTCTGAAATGTCTACAATTGAAGTCAAGGCAGTTTGCATTTCTGCTGTTTGAAGAAAGGTTTGCACAGCTAGTGGTGATTCTCCTGAGTAACAACTAACTTGGGAGGTAGTGTCTGTAGTTGCCATGTGTCCCCTACACATGAAATCTTTCGTTGGAAGTAAGAAATAGCACCACTGTTTGAGTTTTGTTTGGAGTGTCTACCAAGTTTGTTGCTGGACCTCTAGAGGGAGAGGTACTTTTGAATTAGCTCAGTGATTTAGATGTCTGGCTTCAGAGATATCCAGAAGACCCAGTCTGTGTCCTTGGGCAAGCTGTGCAGCCCCAGAAAATGCCCCCAAGAGAAGGGAAAGGTAATCCACTTCTGAGTATTCTCTACTTAGAAATCCCTGTAAAGAGGGTTGCCTTGTTGATTGACTTGACGGCAAACAATTATTATTATTGAATTACGGTTTTGTGCCTGTATCTACTTTATTTTAGAATGTTGAGCCATCTGATAAACATCCTATCCAATTTGAATTGAGTTCAGAAAATAAAAATGCAGAAATGGAGTTCTTCAGCAGAATTATGAAGAATGTTTCCACTAGCAGGTGAGACCTTTTTCCAAATCGTGTACATGTAATACTTACTTTTCTGCCACTGTGTAATTCTAGGCTATGTCCTAAGTTTTCCCCCATGCATTAAATGCATTTTTTTCCAAAAAGAATCAGTAGTAATTGTTATGCCAGATAGTGGTCTCTTCCTAACTTTTAGTCACCTTCTCAATATGTTCTGTGTACACATAGAACACAATTGGGAGAATTTTTAATTTCTGATTTTGTTTTCGTTACTCACATTATGATTATGAGTGGTTGATGTCAGTGAATATATTGGTTTACTAGCTCTTGCTTCCTAAAGTAGTTCACTATATAATCACACAACTTAGTTCATCTTTATCGAAGCATCAGATCTATCAAAAATTACAGCAGGGAAAATGCTTTTCCTTCAAGAGCAAACTAAAGACCTGGCTGTACAGGCAAGTCTTCCCAACAGCCATCACTTAGTTTTTGTTTGTTTGTTTGCTTTGACTCTTGTAGTAAAATTGGGCCCCTTCTTTTAATGTATTTATGTTTTCATTTATTATTTTTGTTTTTCATATATGGATGGTATAGTCTAATAAATAAAATTTTAACTTAATAAAAGCCACATATAGAGCTGCCACTTTAAAGTTAGTTCTACAGGAGAGATGCCATAAAGACTTTGTTTGTCATGTCTTGTTTATTTGCAAGCAACTGCAATTTTGAATCCTATTTTATCTGCTAAGTACAGTGGTGCCTCGCATAGCGATGTTAATTGGTTCCAAAAAAAACATCGCTATGTGAAACCATCGCTATGCGAAACACCATTTCCCATAGGAATGCATTGGAAACCGGTTAATCTGTTCCAATTGGAATGGATTGCCGTTGTTAAGCGAAAAAACCCATAGGAAACATCGCTAAGCGAAACAATGTTTCTTCCATTGGAATGTATTGAAGCTGACTCAATACATTTCAATGGCTTTGCGAAGTCAATTTTTGCAAAATTAAGTGTGTCATAAAAGGATCAAAAATGGTTTTAAATGCTTGGATTAGCTTCTGCACCCTCTAAAACGGATGCAAAAGTTAATTTGGCTTTGATCTGACTTTTTGTTAATTTTTTCTGAATTTTTTTCCCCCAACTTTTGACAGCTGTCAAAATCTGACAGCTCCATTATTTCCTATGGGGNNTAAGTCATGTGCAAACCTGATTTGGCTTTGATCTGACTTTTCGTTAATTTTTTGTGAATTTTTTCTTCCCCATAGGAAATAATGGAGCTGTCAGATTTTGACAGCTGTCAAAAGTTGGGGGGAAAAAATTCACAAAAAATTAACGCAAAGTCAGATCAAAGCCAAATCAGGTTTGCACATGACTTAAGGGGTCCTCTAACGAATCCAAGCATTTAGAACCGTTTTTGACCCTTCTAAGACACTTTTTTAATTGAAAAAAGAAACATCGTTAAGTGAAGCAGGGGACCTAAAATCGCATTCGTTATGCGAAGCATGGTCCCAAACTTCGCTAAGCGAAAATCACCCATAGGAAACATCGTTATGCGGGGCATATTATTTTCTAAAAAAACACATCGTTATGCGAATTCATCGCTAAACGAGGCAATCGTTAAGCGAGGCACCACTGTACATAGGCTGATTTTATAGGCTGCTTTCTATATATGGAAATCGGACTTCTGTGTAGTTTGTGGGCTTATTTGCAAAATGGCTATTCAAATGTGGCATGTGTACTACAAATCTCTTTGTGGTGAATTACCCATATTGCAAGCAATACAAATTGTGAAACTTCTTTGTTTTTAGCCTGTCTCAGAGTTCCACTCCCAGTAAACTCTCAATCAGTGATCAGGACTCGGGTGTGGAAGATGATGCATCCCCAAGACCATTTCCCTGTCCTCAGCCTGTGACTCATCAGGTAACTTTTAAACTTGTCATTTGAATTATCAGCTCTACTTTCTGATAGTTGGCGGAGCCCAGATTTAGTATGCAGTATCAGGCTAATGCTATGTCATAGTCTTGCCGCTAGGTTGTACTACAGTGCTTTGATCCTTTGTTACTATAAATACTGTATACTGTATCTTTCTGCTTAATTTTTAAAAAACTCTTCAAGAGACTATATTCACATATTTATATTTGCATGTGTGAAGAGGGCTAAACCAGCTCAATCATAGCTCAGTTACTTGACATACAGTAATTTATTAGGACTTCTGGTGGCACATAATCACAAAAGGAAGCAGACGTAGTGGCTGAACTATATAGATATGCTTATTAAGAACTTAAATGACTGGCATTTGAGATGGTATTGATTAGCTTTGTCTTTAGCTCTTCTATTTAATTTGTTAAGTAGAGAACCAGTGGCAATCTGCATGTAGACACCCAAGCTGTATTGGATGTAGACAGTAGCTATGCTTCTTATATCTTGTAATAAGGTATTTCTACCCTGAGGTTATACAAAAATATTTTTACTCTCTTAAAATTCTCGTATATTTTCCTGCATCCCATGTATATCAGTGTTTAAGGTTATGCTGGTGTGTCACACAGATCTTACTGTAGGGCTTGAGAGGATATCATACACAGTGCCTGTGAATAGATCTAAATTTATTTGAGGAATGGATTGTGGACTTGCATATTGTCTTGTGATTTCTCTTTGTATTGGTTTGTAGTTGTAGTGCAAGTTATTATATATCAGTTGCAGAAGTGGAAAAGAAAAACTGTTTGGGTTAAATTATAACATAAGAACTGAGTTTACATTGTTCTGGTTTCCAGATCACTGAGATCCAACCTTTGGTTCCTGAATTGTCAATCGTATTTGATGGCACTTCTACAGAATCTGTACCAGTGTCCAAACATACCATGATCACAGACAAAAAAAGTCAACCTTCAATTGGATATCAGCCTGCTAAGGTGACATGCCCTGCAAAGCATCAACTCTTCCAGCTTCAGCATTCTGATAATGGGAAGCAATTAGTTGGTGGTTGTACCAGAGTGCCTTCCCCAAGGCAGTTACCAAGCCAGTCAAAACAGAGAATTCCACTATTAAAACCTTGTAAAGGAAGCCATTCTTTACTGCAACAACAATCTGGTGCAGTTGAATCTCAAGCAAAAAAGAGCTCTGGATCCAATTCATCATCTTCTCTTTCACCACCTTGTAGTGGTTCTTCTCCCAATACATCATCACATCATCATGGAACACTTTCTGAGAAATACTTGTCAAGCAGTGATGCTGGGCAAAAGAAAGAGTTGTCAAATACCGGACCATTAGTACCTAGTTCTAGGCAGTCTCCTGTTCCTTTCCAGTCTCCCTGGCCTAGCCCTGCCTTGTCATCTCCACATGTGAGAAAGCCATTGGATGTTCGAATTCCAGTTCAAGGTCTGCCTTGTTGTCCTGCTTGTGTTTGTAGCTGTCAGTTACATGGTCATGTGCAGTACAGTCCAATAAATCCTTGGCAAGGAATGTGCCTAAGTCACACAACTGAAGTCCATTCCAGCTCTGCCCAAGAGAGCACACAGGTGGTATTCCATCAAAATATAGGAAGTACAAATTCTGACTGCCACCCAGTATGTGCCTCAAGTAGCCCTGTAAAACCAGGCTGTCATGGAAACATTAGGAACAGTTCTAATGATAACATGCCAGGCACAGTAGGAATTTCTTCTGGCAATTCACAACCTCATGCAGTCTGTTCAACTTGTAGTCCCACTTCTGAACCAAAAATGGGAACCAGTAATGAAATGATGGAGTTGTCTTCGGATGTTTACAGAATTCTTACTGAACAAGACAGGCAGATCAAACTGCTGCAAGCTCAGGTTTGTTGATTTACTACTATGATTTTGTATTAAAGTATTTAGCTTCATTACTGAAATGCCAATATCCTCATTTATAGTGGGTGTGATGTAATTAGACTAGAAATTGACCTTTGGTGAAGTACTTATTACTGAGGAAAGTTGAATAAAGTCGATTAAAAGTACATGCTTTTAAACAATATCACATGGGAAATACCTTTAATTTCAAAATCATAAATGCCGTAACTTTACTGGTCAGCTATGTGAGTCATTAATTTGTTTGGAATTAAGATGGATGTAGAATGGAAGCCAACTAGAATATTATTAATTGGATTTGCATTCTACTGTTTATCTCCTGTCTACAAATTCTTTCATTTATATTTCTTTTTAAAGGGCTCTGAAAAGATGCTAAGGTGGACAGTCTGGATATTCCTTTATGCATAAAAGTAAAACTGTTATTTGCCACAATCTTGCTGGGGATTTATGCATATGTAAATCCACATAACTCATCATAGCAAATTGCTAACTCACGAAACACATGCCCAATTGTGCAGCAGTCGCACACCTAGTAATGCAGCTGGCTCTTCATTAGTCACAATTGACCATGGTGAGTTTTACAGTTTAACTTACATGTACATAAATCACCAACAGGATTGTGACATAAATGATATTTAAATAGAGCAGTAATTTATTATCCTATTTTTGTTATAATCTTGGTAGTACAAATGAACACTGGCTTTATGTTTACAGATCCAGCGGCTTTTAGAAGCACAAAATGTTCAGGCCTGTTCTACCAGCACTATAGCAAACAGCAGCTTACAGTCTCAGAAGCAGCTGGAATTTGTTGCCATGGAGACTCACTCCTCCCCAGTGTTACACATGAAGAAAAGTGTCAGCATTGCAGTGAGCACAGGTAATGGCTTTCCTGTATATTTTATTGAAGTGGCATTAAAAGCTTATTGGTGGGCAATTTGATTTATATGTTCACAGCCTCCTGTGCTGTCTCCCGTTTGACCAGCAGAGATTTTGTTCTCAAAACCCGGGTTTGTGTGTATAGTGAGCACTGGGCCGAGGCAGATTTCCATGCTGCACTATCACAGCATCAGAACTGTATTTCTATGAAAAAGTGTACATTTTGTAGAAGGATTGATGTTTTAGAATGGGTTTTCTCATGAGCATAAGGTAAATTTGGAAATATTGAATAGCTTTAAAATCTGTAACAGTATCCAACCATATTTCAGTGTACAGTGGGGTCTTGACTTGAGAACTTAATCCGTATTGGAAGGCGGTTCTCAAGTCAAAAAGTTCTCAGGTCAAATCTGCATTTCCCATAGGAATGCACTGAAAACCATTTGATCCGTATCTGCTCTTTTCCGTCCATAGAAACTAATGGGAAGCTGCTATTCTGCCTTTGAGCACTAGAGGGATATATTTTGTTTCTTTTTTTCTTAGGTCAAGAAAGGTTCAGGGAAGGCAGGGAAAATACAGTCCAGGCAGTACCAGGCAGTCTGAAGACTGTCTCCCAATCCACTCTCTAAACGCTGGGAGGAGTGAGGAAGCAGACAGGCACCCTTTTCACTGGCCAACAGTTAACTGAAAGTTCAAATTTTGCACTTTCCCTGCCTCCCACGTGGTTTTTTTCAGTTCTTAACTCAAATCTAAGTATGTAAGTCAAGTCAATATTTTCCTATGAGAGTCGTTCTTAAGTCAAAATGTTCTTAACTCAAGCCGTTCTTAAGTCAAGACGCCACTGTATATTGTTTTGTGACTCCTGATATTGTTTTGCGGCTGTTTAGTAATGTGTAAGATGTGCGAGCTAGGCTGCTCATTGTATGAAGTTATAGGGCACCTTTTAGGACTAACAGACTACCCTGTTTCCCCGAAAATAAGACCTAACCTGAAAATAAGCACTGGTATGATTTTTCAGGATGCTCGTAATATAAGCCCTACCCCCAAAATAAGCCCCAGTTAAGTAAAATCCTACCCTCCACCATTGTGCAGCAACCAGAAGATGATATGACTGTATTTGAATAAATGTAGATTTTTGTACATGAAAAAAATAAAACATCCCTTGAAAATAAGCTTTAATGCATTTTTGGAGCAAAAATTAATATAAGACCCTGTCTTATTTTTGGGGAAACACAGTATGTCCATGAGAAGTATGAAAGTGCCCATAGTAGTATTGGCACCTATCACGTACTTAATAAATGATGTTTAAACAGCATCAGTTGGCTTCTAATTGCAACAGCTGGAACCAAAGCTTGCCTGTAATGCATCAAAATGGTGGATGTCTTTCCCATTAATGGACCATAAAAGGTGTTGGTGCCACCACCCTAGCTAAATTACTTTCTGTTTCTCTTTTTCAGGTGCCAGCTTATACTTGAATCCTCCTTTGGAAAGGAACAAAGAGTCTATAAAACAAGATGATGTTGAAATTTCCAGTGAAGACATTAATATTTCTATAAACACTGAGAAGGACACAAGTCAAACAAGCATTGCCTCTTCATTAAAAGTAGTTGACATACCCAGTTTTATAGACAGTGTTCGTGTTGCTGAAGAAGGACCTAGTCAACCCTCTGCTGGACTCTGGTAATTTGTTTATTAAACCTTCTTCATGATTTCCTTTTAAAATTTGATTCCTTTTATGTCACATAGAGTCCATCTTGCTTTACAGGATTTAAGCTATTTTATTTGACTATCAGTATGCAGATTCAAGTTCATTTCTATGCTTTTGGAAATAGTTCTAGATTTGCTTGATTCAGCTTTCTTCTTAGTAATTTTGCATTTAAATTAGCTCTCATACAATGACCCTCTGTCAACTCCGCTGGGTGGGATTTCCCCTCACGCACGTGACTCTGCCCCCCGCGGGCAGGGTTCTGTCATAACCAGAACCTAACACAATCACTACATGGAGGAGGAAGAAGACAGCTGCATGGAGGGAGGCAGAGGTGCACTTGCGTGCCCAGCTTAGAAGGAACCTTGCTCTCATCTCATTGTTTTCATTTAGCCTCAGAACTGTTTGATATTTTCCACTTAAAAACTGACAGGATGCTGTGACCTCTTGTGATGGTGGTTTTATGTGCTATGATACTCCTTCTGACTTACAAAATGAATTAGCAGGGATAGGGACTTTTGAGTCAGGACTTCGCTGTTGAGTCTGACTTAAGTCGTACCAGCAACTTGACTCAGATTCAACTTGGGTGGGGGTATTTGAAAGACTTGGACTCAACTTGCAACTTGGAACGATTTTTCCAAGAGTTGTTGAGTCCCTGTTAGGGATGGACCTCCCTACCTGCTCCTGTTACTGCCATCCTCAGAGGCAGCAAGCCCAACGCAGACCCAAAAACTCAGACTCTGAGTTGGGACTTGCCAACATCCCTGTAAATTAATGGCCTCTGAAAGGTCCTACATTAGTAGTACACCTTGGGTTTTGCAAGCTTAAAGCCTTGGCTTCCTTTATTGTGTCAACCCATTTTATTGTCTTATCTTTTCCTGTTGTCTTTAGCTTTTTCCAACATTATCTTTTCTAGTGTGTGTTATCTACTCATGATGTGCCCAGAGTATGATAGCTTCAGTTTAATCATGTTTGCTTCTAAAGAATGCAGTGTTGGTTTGATTTAGAACCCACATATTTGTACTTCTTCAGTTTCCCCTAGTAGTCATTTCAAATCAATACTGCTTTCTACCAGTAATATGGTGTCATGGGCATATCTTAAATTATTTGTGTTTCTTCCACCAATTTTCAGTTCTCTTGCATCTGCATCTAATCCATCTTTTCCTATGTTATGTTCTGCATATAGATTAAACAGGTAGAGAGATAAGATAATGTCCTTATCTGACACCTTTGGCAGTGGGAAACAACTCTGGATTCAGAAAAGGATCACTCATATGATTTTACTGTACAGCTGGATTTCTGCTCAGCTTCAAAACAAAGTATTTTGTGTGTATCATTATGAGTCGCTTGTAGGAAAACTAAATTTCAGGAGTGAATTAGAATTGGTTTAAATATGTATTTTAATTTACTGAATGTGGTCATTTTCCATAGTTGTCTGCACTTTCCACAGACTTATGTCAATTGTTTATTTATGGCTTTTATATTACAAAAGTGAGCATTGCTCATAGAACTAACTCAACGGGCAAGTATTTAGAATCACATACTGAGGAATCAATTCATAACCATACATACTACAGTGTTTCGAATATCTGTGATAATAATTGAGTTATAGTTGTCAAAGAGACTTCTAAAATCCATATTTTCATAATTTTCTTAGGGATAAAAAACAACCTCACACTAATTGATACGGTATATTGATTGAATGTACAGTAAATTATTTGTGCCTTATTTCTTTCAACATATAATTAGCTGTTTTGAGGTTTAGTGCTTACTGTGTTATCTACATTGTTGGAGGAGTTATGTCATGCTCTAGAGATAGTGACTACCATTCGGTATCAATGTTCCAAATCTCTTCTAAAAATATATGTTCTTGTGAGTATTTGCATATGAATCTAGAAATTCATTTTGTTCAGGTATTGGTGTAGTGTACAGTAAACCTACAGTTATTAACTTTGTAACATAAATGCAGATTTTTCCCCTCAAGGAAATGTTTGTATTTTACGGAATGATAAGTACTTAAATAGCAACATACAGCTATTTTTCCTCTATCTAGTAAAGTTATTACAACACGTTATATGGGATGTGGTTATTATCTGATTCCTCTTGCATACTGCCTGTGACCATGTTCATTGTAGTGACTACTCCATTATCTAAAGGTAACATCAGTAGCAAACTGTAATAGGAAGACTTCCAGGATAGATAAAACTGGGCCGTCAGGAGGCACCCTTACTAGGAAACCTCTATTTCATCCCTGGCAGTTAGTCTTCAGACTTTGCTATGCCTCCTCAACTGAACTTGTTACTGAAAGGTATCTCACAAGTTTACCAGTTTCCTTGCCATGAGATGTACAGTATCTGTTTTAGCACCCAAACAAGCAGTATGCTACCTAGTTGCATTAAAAAGATGCATCTTTCTGTGCAAAGGGTGAAAACAAACAAGTCTATAACTCCACCATAAATAATGTTGACTTTAAACTAGAGTTTTCAGACCTTTATCTTGAAGACAAAGGAATTCAGAAAGTGTAGTCCAGATATGTGCTAGATGTTTGCCAGAAGAGGAGGCTTTACAAAAGTATGTGTAACTGGTTGAGTAGATGATACACTCAGTTTTACAAAGTACTTATGTCTATATAGAGAATTGTGAGGTCAGTTTTGTTTTTGTTAAGGGAAAGTCTTTCTTACCCATAATCCTGAATTAAAGTGGAACAAGTACTTAGATAAATATGAATCACTTCAGAGCAGGAGTGAGCATGGTTTTTTATTTATTTATTTTTATCACTCATACATACAAAACATACAGAACAACAAAATAAAGATATAACAAAAATAAAGGACAGTAATGCTAATCATCCATACTACATATATAGATCAGAGATTTTGCCATTGTCTAGGTCATCTAATAACATCAAAGGGTTCTTGTGAGCACAGGTTCACCATGACTGTTTCTTCCCCTAAGTTCCTTTCTGTTTCTAGACTGAATTCTATATCAGTTTCCAGCTTTCCTTTACAAAGTGTCTTGGTTGATCCTGCACTGCCTCTGAAAGCATATCTAGTTCTGCAGTATCCAGTAGCTTCTTTAATAGCTCTTCCATCGTTGGTATATCTCCTTCTTCCATTTTTGGGCCCAGAGTGACCTGGCTGCTGTGTATATATACGTAGACTATATTTTATCTATTTATCAATGATCTCTGGCATTATATTCAATAACAGCACTTCAGTTTAAAACTTGGTTTTTGCTGAACAATTTCTTGTGACATTTCCCACTTTTTTTTTTTTTCTTTTTTGCATCACCACCATATGTGACAAGTCCCTGGGTTTTGTTGTTGTTGTTGTTTTTAACATTTCCAACAAACTTTACTGATCCCTTCTGACATTTTTGCCAGTCTTACCAAGTAAAATGCCATCTGTAAAACATTTTAAGGATGTTTTCTCTAAAGTTAACTGGTGTAATCAACTTATAATTATCTTTCCACATTTTTGTCCAGTCATCAGTATCAATATTATAACCAAAGTTTTGTGCCCATTTGACCATCACCTCCTTCACCCTCTCATCTTCTAGTTCATACTCTAATAGATACCCTGTTTCCCTGAAAATAAGACCTACCTTGAAAACAAGCCCGAGTATGATTTTTCAGGATGCTTGTAATATAAGCCCTACTCCAAAACTAAGCCCCAGTTAAGTGAAACCCCGCCCTCCACCATTGTTCTGCATTGTGCAGCAACCAGAAGAAGATGACATGACTGTAAAATAAAACATCCCCAGAAAATAAGCCCTAATGTGTTTTTTGGAGCAAAAATTAATATAAGACCCTGTCTTATTTTCAGGGAAACACAGTACCGTATGTATACATTTTTTATTATTTTCTCTTTTGTACAGATCCATAGTTCATCCACCTGAACTTTCCCCTCAAAAAAGCCCATATTTATGTCCTTTTTATATCTTGTTTCTAATTTCAGCATTGGCCACCAATCTGTTGATAGACCCAAATTCTCTAAATCTTGTTTATTTTTCAGAATTTGATATTTTGTTAACAAGTCTTTATACGTGAATAAAGCTCCCTCCTGGCTTAACACTTTCAGTGTAAAGGCCTCTATTGGGACTACCCATACTGTATTGGAATTTTCTTACAAGTTTGCACTTGAAATTTTGCCATATTAAACATAACTCTTTCCTCACAATATGTTCTGAGAAATGTGCCTGTTCCTTGAATTTTCCATACCATACATATGCATGCCAACCCATCTGTAAATCATGACCTTCCAATTTCAACAGTCTGTGATTTTCGAGTGTTACCCATTCTTTTATCCAAACCATAGCACAGGCCTTGTAAAATAAGAGCCAGTTCGGCAGTCCTTGTCCTCCTAGTCCTAGTCCTCGTCTCTCTTTGAGATCTTGTAGTACTCTGATTTTTATTCTTGGCTTTTTAGCCTTCCAAACAAATTTTGAGATGATGCTGTTCACGTCCTTGAAATATTTATAATTTAGTAGAAGTGGGCATGTTTTCAGTGTGCAGGGTCTACTTCTTATTTGTAAGATAAACCCTGACATCCATCTACTGGAGCAAAGTCCAAAACTGGCTTAGATTGATAGATATATATTGAGAATTAGGAAACAAGGTACCTCTCATCACATAGTGAGCCAGGAATTAGTATCAGAACTAGAGATAGGTCCAATTATTGGTCACTGCAGCGCACACATAACCTGGCTGGCACTTTCCCACTGCTCCACGCAGCTGACTGCTCACCATCTCACTTGTCATTCCCCCCTCCTCACCAGAGTGGTTGACTGCACTGGGAGGTGCGGAACCACCAGCCAGGCTACTTCCGCGATTGACGTGACAGGAATTGCACCGGCTGCACAGTGACTTGTAATTGGACGTGCCAGTTGGGAGTGGAGGTCAGGGATTGGACTTTCCAGGCACCTGTGGTGCTCATATTTGTATCCCCCTCCCCCCCAGTGATACAAATACACATACCCCATCTCTAATCAGAACTACATTCCCAAGTCTTTCCACAGAGAAATCCTGTCCTTCCACCTTCCAGTGTTTACTGTCTACAGACTAACTTAGGAAAGACTTTAAAATGTAGTTTTATGTGTTTTGGCACTTGATAATCAAAAATCAGCACCTCCTTCATATCAGTCATAATCATTCCAAATCCTTTCAATAGGTCCTGATCAGCATTCTCCTCATATTTGATATAGAAGTTACAGCCTTGCTAGTTTTAGTGTAGAATGTTTATCTTGACTGTAAATATTAACGGAACATGTATTATATTTGTATTGAATGATATTAGTGACTTCAGAAAAAAAATCCCTACAAAGAATGCTGTGAATAATTCACCCTAAAGAACTAAGAAACACAACAAGGCTAACTTGAGACATACAGTACGCATTTCATTGTTTACCCCAAGAGCAAATATCACTGATAATTTCATTTACTCATTTGGATTGCCCTATTTATTCACTGTTCTCTCTTTCTCGCAGTGCACCAGGAGCCAAAGGGATGGCCCAGACTTCATTAATGAGTGAAAGTGTTAGTATGTGCTTACAGAGCAGGCCATTGGGAGAAACTTACAATAATTTGATGGCAATTAATGAACAGAAAGTTGAGAATGTTGTCACTACCTTGCCAAATGTTCAACCAGGTGATGAGAAGTTTTACCAGGATATATTGGTAAGTTTTCATAGCTGTTCTTTTTTTTAACATTCTAATTTGACCCAGACCTCTTGCAACTTTGGTGTAAACAATGTCCCATTTTATAAAGGAAATGGTTTGCTCAGTGAAAAGTATGCATTGCTTCTTGAGTCGTGCTGTTTTCTTATAACTTCTTGAAAAGAGTACTGTTCATTTGGTCCTAATATTTTTAATAGTATATTACATAGTTGCTCTTGTTACATGATGCAGTCTTTTAATTAAAATAGTGTATGGCACATCAGTAAGTTATTAAGGCATTTAAGTGGTCTGAACAGATTGTCACAAACAGCATATTTGTAGAAATAAATATGAATTTATGAAGTGCTGATGTGATTTCCTCTATTATCATTTCTGTTTCAAGAAAACCAGGGCCCATCAGCTTTCTGTTTGAAAGGACACAGGTAGAGTACAAGTGTGGCTTCAGACTGAGGAAGGCTGATCTGCAAATCTATTAACACAATAGCATAATAGAACTTTGAATCAGAGCGATAACTGTAGTTATTAAGAGGGTATTATTCGGTCAGCTTTGTGTTCTAGGCTTTCTATTTTCTAAATCTTTTCTTTCATGAGATGTTTGGACATCATCCCCATTCCCCATGCTTGTTGGTTATGTCCCTTGTTGCTACACTCTTAGTACAGGTGCATAGGGTACCTCTGTGATTACAGGGGTACATATGTAAGGTGTCTGTATGCAAATACAAGCCCTTCCTTCATATATGTAGGAGCCCTTTATGGGGACACCCTTTACCCTAACATGTAGCTGCTGAGATCTATGACTGGTAACCATGTCTGTTGGAGGAGGCATGCCCTGGTTTTTAAGGAAGGAGTGTTTGAATATTCCTGAAGTCATTTGCTAACACAAGTCTGTACTTGTGCTAAGAAGATCTAGCTGTGCAATAGTTTGATTGATATACCACCCCATTAGTGCTTGCACTACTCCATATAGCAAAAAATGTCACAGGAGTAGAAAATATCTATGAAGGCAATGGTAATATAGCCTTGCATGTGGCTGCTGTTTCTCAAATGTAGATTCCATGGAGAAGAACATATTTTAAGACTGTCTAGCTGTTACTGACTAAAATGGTACCAAGCTATTATTCTAAGAAGTTAATGTTTTTAGATTTTCTCCTAATTCAAAGACAATTCATTTAACTTCAAAATGTTGAGCTAAGTTTAAAATTAATTTTAACAAGTCTATTTCAAAAAGTACATATTGCATGTGATATTTTAACAGAGTATCACAATATGATTTGAGGATCTGAACAAATTACATTTACTTTTATAACATGTCATGGGGTATCATGTATGTTCTTGCTTTAATTAGTATTTTCTGTACCTTTTCTTGGTTGGGGGAATAGGGCCAAGTAAACCATTTCTTGAAAGAATCTTCCGAAGAAAACGAATCTTCAGCAAAATGTACCACATCTCCAGAAACAAGCAAATCCGAAGGGGACTCAGCAGTAAACCCAGTCGTAAGCAACAAAGATAGTGTGTTGCAGGCAACCTTGAAACAACTGAAGCAGCTTGGAGTGAATTTTGACTCTCCTCACAAGATGAACGGTGCCCACAAAGTAGAAAATGCCAGGTAACTGGAAATAAATTTCTGGTAGAGTAAATAAAAAGAGAAAAATGTCTGGACAGGAGCTTGTAGATAGCCTGATCTCTCTAAGGGGCTATGATCTGTGGTCAGTTATAGAGTATAATGATGAAGAACATATATGACAAATACAGTGCTACTCTTGCCTAAGTTTTGATGCTTTCTTTTATACGATATCATATTTGTATCTGTTCTTAACAGTATTCCTTACATAACTTAGTTGTCTGACAGGTTTTATTGGAAAGCTTATACTGAGAAAAGTTTAGCTTGGATCAAACCATATATTCTTCTTGAAAATTTGCTTGTTCTTCACAAAGTAACTACACTGCTTGTAATCATGACAGAGCAGCTGGTATGTTACAATCAAACATCTCTAATAAAGAAGGTCTAGCAAATAATTCTATCCAGTAGATCATGCTCTCCTTGGAGCTTATTTTGTTGGAGAAGAACAATGAAAAGTAAAAAATCCATATATTTATATCTTTAGTCCTGGTAAGTGGAACACTTTATCATGTAATAATAAATATAAGAAATAGAGAACATCTGGTTGTACAGGTATTAATGGATTCCAGATCCCATGAGCCGAACACACACAGATCAGGCAACTTCTCTGACACGTACTCTTGCAATAGGATTGAAGAAAGTAATGTGTGAATGGACTCTCTTTGCAGTTGATTTTCTAAAGACTCTGCTCGTGTGCTCATCTAGTTTGCATGTGTTTCTCTATGGAATTTTGTACATTGGAATGATTGAGGCAATCAGGGACACCAAAGCAAGTGACAGCAACCTCTTTCTTCTATTATGTTGGGATTCTTTATGGTCTCTGTGAATGCACATTAATAGGTTTAATTTGCGCTTGAATATTCTAAAGCTTTATGATATGTTCGTCAAGGACCGCCCCCCTAGCGCATGTAGTCTGCCCGTCCTGGTAATTACTTCAGTTCCTTTTTGTCACTGCTGAGGTCTCCCCTCTTGAGCTACCGTTCATCTTCATTATTATCTGGAAAGATTTACAAATTTTTATTGATTCTTGATCTTCTATAATCAAGGAAATTGTAAGAGACTTTTCGACAATTTCCCCTACCACCCCCCTTTCCCTGCCATTTATGGGCCCCCTTCCCCCATTCAAAAAGTGCACCTTGTGCTCCAACAAGGTCCCGTTTTCAGATGGCCACTATCTCTGCCTTTTTTGTCTGGGAGAATCTCACCAACCTTCTACTTGTCAATTCTGCAAGAACTTTACCAAACAAGCCCTTAAACTACGGCAACAGCGTCTTCAGTCATTCCTCTGGAAGTGTTCCTTACAACCAGCTGAAGCTATGGAACCATCCCAAATATCTCAGCCCCTGAAAGAATCTCTGGGTCCATCTACTGTTTCCCCGACAGCTAAATCGACCTCTAAAACTAAACCAAAATTGAAGCCCAAACCTCTCAGTTCAACTAAGTCCATCCCAGTACCGAAATCTCCTTCAGTATTGGAACACTCCAAATCGAAAAAACAAAAGCCTTCCACCGACTCTCACCCTTCTAGGCAGAGACCAATACTAGACCTAGCACCGTTACAAAACCAGCCTACAATCTGCCTTGACTCGCCAGAAGACACCCTTCTTCCTCCGTCTAGTCAACCCCATCTCCACTACTTGCACGCTGTCCATTGTTGGTGCTCGATCCTGCTGACGTTACCATCATGCCTCGATCGTCACATCGTAGCAGGCCACTCTGATGTCACCCCCAACTCAGGCCTCTCAGAATGCCCACCACACCACTTGACACTCGCTGCCACCAATTGTACTGTCTATTTAAGAAGGACAAAGGTTTCCTTCAAAACAAAACAGGTTTATTGAAATAACAAAATAAAATATGAAAATCACAAGTAGCTAATCACGATGTCAATCACTGTTTCTTATTTAATCAATCACAGACTTTCTCTCACTGAATACGTAGGCACACAGGCCTCTAAACAAGCTCTTTCTCTCTCACACTCCAGATCTGATCTTTCACACTCCCTTCACCCCCCTTTTTCTTCCAGCTCCTCCCTCTTCAGCCCCACCCTCCGTCACCCCATTGGCTGATGGTTCACTTCCCAGCTGTGACGGACAGTTGAGGTCAGGGCTGCCTGTTACAGTGCTCGATCCTGCTGACGTTACCATCATGCCTCGATCGGCACAATCGAACCCCATGTCCTCGGGTTGCTCCGTTTCTATGGGTGATATTGAGTCGATCTACCCAGTATTGGACATTTCACCTCCGGGCAAGACGTTAAGGAAGATCCATCACACATCGCAGACGTGCCATTCCGATGCCTATCTGGTATGACCCATTACTCCAACTGGGTCTCTGGCATCTCGAGAGCCTTCTACTTGGTATCACCACTCCAAACGGGCCGTGCTCTATGAGCCTCTGCAGTATTATGACCCTACATTCAAATGCTGTCGACATTGAGCATATTAGTATTACCAACCCAAGCTCGACTTCTATACCAACCTTCGGCACCCTTGACACCAATACTATTACCAATCCGACTTCTCTGAGTCTTCACCTTCCCCTCGATACTGATCACAGTATCATGGCTTCTACTGTTCCTCGTCAGATGATGACTCCGTACCACCCCCTCCAGTACCAAAGTCCCACAGACCTCACAGGAGACCCCATCCTGAGCCTCTCCAGGATCAACCTACGGTACCGAAACAACACCAGACCTATGTCCCTACAGTGCCATGGATCACACAACCCTCTGTTCCCACTCAACCACAGCCTCCCTCGATACAAGCAACCACCACTTACACTGGACCTCCGCCTCTACCTTCCGGTACCATGCATTCTTATCATAAGAAACACACTAAACATCACTCTGTTTCTGTACCAGCCCAACAGGTTCCTCATAGACCTCATCATGATCTTCCAGAACCTCTTTCCACCTCCATCCCATGGTACCATCCTACCTCTCCAACCTCATCTTCTCAATCCTACTATTTGGAGGCTTCTAATTCTGTACCAGAACAGGAATCCTCTCCTAATCTACCTACATCCAGACTCTGATGTCACTCAGGCTAACCCTCTATCACCATCTGATGACTTCTCTTCCTATTCTCAGTTGGTCCTTCTCATTGCCAAGGCTATGGATTTAGATGTGCAGCAGTCTGTTCAACCCCAATCAGATAAAGTATTTGAGCACATTAATGAGGAACAAACTCCATCTCTAAGTATGAGCTTCATCCCCTCATTATTAGAGCTCACTAAACAAACTTGGTCTAAACCATCCTCTGTTCCACAAATGTCTCGCAAAGTCGAAAATCTTTACAAGACGCATGGAGAGAATAGTGCCTTCCTCTCCAAACATCCACCTCCCAATTCGGTCATTGTTGATGCCACCCAAAACAGAGCACAAAACTGTTCCAGCACCACACCAAATAACAAGGAAGGAAGGAATTTAGACGTTGGGCGTAGGATCTATTCCCTTGCCTCATTTACTCTTCGTGCTGCCATTTATCTCACAGCTGTGGGAGCTTATCATCGTTATCTTTGGAACAAGGCTCTCCCATCACTACAGTCAGCTTCAGGCAAATACAAACTTTGTGGCCTCGCTTTCCACCAAGAGGCCATGGCCCTCACACGTCAGGAGCGTATCACAGCCAGACATATTATTGAAGCATCATCTAGACACGTGGCTACTGCTGTAGCCTTCCGTAGACATGCCTGGCTATGATCTGCCCACATCTCAGATGATGCTCACATGAGAATTGAAGTTTTACCATTCAGTGGTACCAGTCTTTTGACGAAAAGACTGATGACATACTGGACAACCTGCAAAAATTGAAAAAGACAGCAAGATCATATAACACCCAACCATGCTACAAACCAGTTATATCAGTGGCGCTGCCCTTACTTTTACCAACAATCCACATAATTTGTTGACAAGAATAGATATCCTTCACAGCCTGCTCTTTCCTTCCAGCCTAGACCCACAGTACAATGTCACCGCCCCAAACAGTCTTTCCATCACCCTGATAAGAAACAAAAACAGAATCTTTGACTTCCTCATCCCCCAGATCTGCTCAGCATACCTTTCTCCTTCCACCGCTACTCGTCTTTCAGCCCATCTTCCATATTGGGCATCTATCACCACCGACTCCTTGGTCCTCACCATCATTGCTGCAGGTTACACCATAGAATTCATTTATCCACCTCCACCAAGGATCGTTGTAACCTCACCGTCCGTTGCTGTCAAACAGGAAATTCAGTTTCTTCTCCTAAAGGATGCCATATCACCTATCCACCCTTCAGAAGACGATCCAGCATTCTTCTCCCACTATTTTACTATCCCAAAATGAGACGGTGGTCTACAACCTATCCTCGACCTTCGGGACCTCAACTACTATATCACTCAGAAACATTTCCATATGGTCACGTTAGAACGAATCCTACCCATTCTTTAACAAGACGACTGGTTCGCAGTGATAGATTTAAGCGATGCGTACTTCCACATTACAATTCGCCAGGACCATCGTAAATTCCTCAGATTCACCGTAGGACCCCATGCCTATGAATTCAAAGCCCTTCCCTTTGGCCTCTCTACAGTGCCAAGAAAATGTATGGCACCTGCAGCAGCCCACCTATGTACTCTGGGAATCTCCATCTTCCCATACAAAGACGACTGGCTGATAGTCTCCCCTTCACGCTTTCAAGCTTCAAAAGATACCCAGTTGACCCTCTCTCTCCTCACGGATCTGGGCCTCAAAGTCAACGAAGAAAAATCTATTCTTACTCCCACACAACGCATTGTCTACATAGGTGCAGTCCTTGACTCTACCAAGGCAAGAGTCTTTCTTCCTCTAGGAAGAGCAATCAAACTTCACACACTCATCGGTCAATTCCTTCCTCACTCCTTCGTCACAGCGCATTTGACTCAACGTCTCCTAGGTCTTATGGCCTCCACCATGTTGACCATTCAGCATGCCAGGCTAAAATGTGCTCTCTACAATCATGGTATCTGTCCCTCTTTGACCCTATGATAGACCCACCATCCAAACTTCTCCAGGTCCCCCCGGAGCTCTCCTCTCAACTCCTCTGGTGGGACCCTCCATCCAACCTGTTCATCAGATGATCCTTTGCTCCTCTTCAATTATCAGTTCAGATCACCACCGATGCAAGCCCTACTGGATGGGGGGGGAGGCATTGCAACGACCTTCATATCCATGGTCCCGTACAGAGTGGGCTCTTCATATGAACAATCTCAAGCTCTTAGCCATTTTCAAAGCCTTCTGAGCCTTCGAACCAGTCATTCTCAGCAATGCTATTCAAGTTACAACCAACAATACCACCCCGTTGTTTTACATAAACAAGCAAGGAGACACACTCCCTTCCACTGCTGTATCTTGCCATCCAATTCTGGGAATGGTGTCTAGAATGCCATATTTTTCTTGTAGCAGTACATATTGCCACTCAAAACAATCTTGTAGCGGACACCCTCAGCAGACTGCACGTGTAGATGCACGAATGGTTTCTAGATCAGTCCATATTTCTCCACCTTTGCAAGATCTGGGTCAACCACAAATCGACATGTTCGCCAAGTCCCAAAACTCCAAATGCGCCCTCTTCTACTCAACTGGAATAAACTCCCTCCTGAAATTTGCATGGCCCCTTTGCTAGGCATCTTTAAATGCCAATTGAAAACCTGGCTGTTTAAGCAAACCTTCCCTCCATCCACAGTTTGAATTTTTGTTATCTTGCGCTTTTCTCCCATCTTGGATCTTTGTTTACTTAGTAATATATTGTTATGATTTTAAATTGTTAAATTGTTACATGATATGTTGTTACCTGCCTAGAGTAGTCTATACGACTAGATGGACAGGCTATAAATGTAATAAATAAATAAATATTATCAGGATGTGCGGACCACGTGCACTGGGGGGGCGGTCCTTGACGGACGTATCATAAAGCTCTAGAATATTCCGGATACTTCTGTGTAAGCGCAGATTAAACCCATTAGTGTGAATTAACAGATGACCATTCGAAGAACCAGAGTTACAGGTAAGTAACCTCTTTATATGTTGCAGTCAAAATGTTCTTGAGGTATTCTAGTATGATAGCTACAGATAAGTCGAATTAGATCATTTGTTTACATTTCCATCCATTTATAACAACTTATTTTTCTTTTCTTTTAGTATAATGGCCTGCATTAATCCTGAAGCAGTCATTCCAGGGCTAAACTACATTTCTTTTGCCAATGTTGGCTTGAGTGGTTTAACTCCTAATGGAGTAGATCTGAGTATGGAGGCAAATGCTATTGCTCTCAAGTACTTAAGTGAAAGTCAATTGTCACAACTTTCTCTGAGTCATTCAAGCCAAAAGAATTCCATGGCTTCATCGGTACAGACACTCCTGCAAACTAATACAGATAAAACTTTGGTGGGCTTTGGATTAATTTCCCCAACCAATATGTCTTTTGCAACCAAGAAATATATGAGAAAGTACGGGCTCTTACAAAGCTGTGATAGTAGTGAGGAGGAGGAAGAGCAGCAGACTGATGACCATAAGGGAAAAGAAAACTTCAAACCTATTCTACGCTTGGATTTCAACCCTGTTTTAGAGGGCTTTGCCTGCTGGAAAGACCCCTCTGAAAGAACTAGTGAGAGACAAGCCCTCAATGCAGTAAATCATAACCATGAACAATCTAACTATCATCTGTCAAATTCAGAGGGGCCCATGTTGAGAAATATTACAAATACAGTCCTTCCACTCAGAATTTTGCACAAACCAAATGAAAATTCAGCTCCATTTTTGAAAGACTTGAAGCCAAAAATGAAACTTCTACCTGGAAAAGCAGAGTTTACACAACATCCCGCTGAAGAAAATCTGGATATTCAGATTGTACCTGAAACTCCCCAAACTCCCATTATGGATCATTTAAAACACGCAGACAACATGAATTCAGTGGGTACTTTTCTTGATGTACAGCAGCTCCGACAGTTACCAAAGTTATTCTGACCTATGTGTTTAATTGGCAGTCAATTCCTTACTGGATTTCTTGGGCCAGTAGAAGCCAGTTTTCCTTTGTTTCAGCAGAATTGAAAGAAACTCCTGGCTAAGAATCTTTTCTGAAGATGTTCTGGCAATAAACAAGTGAGGAGATCTTTCATCTTAGCAGATCTCCTTGCTTAATGTGATGATTTGGTTGTTAATGCGAGATATATATATATATTTTTAAGTTGTGGCATATTTTAGTATATTTTATACTCCAAAAGGTTAATTAATACATAATCTGAACTTAATGTGTGATATATATTTTCTAACTGATGTGGACTAGTGACTATATGAAATGAGGAGAGTGGTGACTCAACATCTGCCTTAGAGCAGAGTGAGTTTAAGACAGCCTACTTTTTTTACTCCATGTAAAGCAATCTTTTTTAGTTTATTTGCGCATTAGAGTCATGCACTTCACTGTACAGCCTTAGTTCTTAAGAATTTGAAATAAAATTTCACATGGCTATTTTTATCAAATGTGGTGATCACTGAAAAAAATGACATCAGCAAGTTCTATCCAGTTTCTTACTTCTCTAATCAGCACAGGGAACAAATAGTTCATAATTTCTGGAGCTGTGTAACATTTGAGTCATGGTTCAGGACAAGAAATCTCAAATTTATTCTGCTAATCTGTGGGATAGTCAGATATTTTTCTGGCACTCTCCAGTCAATTCAGTGCCAAGAAAAATTTTGAGCAGTTGTATAAAATTACAATGACTATTGGTTTGTTGCAGGGATATTTAAGGACTAGAAGCAGTAGTGAGTTGTTTGCATCTTTTTGAACTGTCGCTCTGTACTTGCTCTGTATGTGCGATTTGCTTTTCAAAAGAAAAGGATATACAGTGGTGCCTTGCAAGATGTTAATTCGTTCTGCGAAAATCGCTGTCTTGCGAAAACATCATCTTGCAAAACGCGGTTCCCCATTGGAATGCATTGAAATCTATTTAATGTGTTCCAATGGGGGGAAAATTGTCGTCTTGCAGAAGAAAGTATTTTTTCCAATGGGGGAAAAATTGTCGTCTTGCGGAAGAAAGTATTTCGAAACGCAGTGTCCCATTGGAATCTAATCAATGCGTTCTTATGGGCAAAAAAAGTCAGAACAAAGTCAAATCTGGTTTACAAAGGGTTTATTACCGTAAGTGCTCTTTAACATCATAAATGCTGTGCAACCTAGCGGTTTGAAAGCATGCAAATGCAAGTAGATAAATAGGGACCACCTCGGTGGGAAGGTAACAGCGTTCCGTGTCTAAGTCGCACTGGCCATGTGACCACGGAAGATTGTCTTCGGACAAAACGCTGGCTCTATGGCTTGGAAACGGGGATGAGCACCGCCCCCTAGAGTCGAACACGACTGGACAAAAATTGTCAAGGGGAACCTTTACCTTTAGGTGATTTTAAAATTTTCAATCAGTAAACTTTAACTTTATAAATATCATAGAAAAACATTGAAAAATCAACAAACATGAGGCAGGAACATCTGCCTTCATTGAAAGTGAACAGAAACAGTCATTAACAGTCATTGGATTGTGCAAACTCTTCAGAAAGTGCATAAACATACAGAAACCAACAGTACAGAACCTTTTTACATTTCACATTTTTAAGTGAACAAGTGAGGCTCTAGACCACCAGGACCAGTTTTCAATGCAGGAAACGAATCACACAGAACTGCTGCCCCATCACAGCAGCAGTCTTCTAGGAGGAAGAGGAGGAGGAAGAAGGCAACTGGGCACCACTGGTTGAAGCAGCAGGTTCCTTTTCCTGTCTCAGGCTCTTTGTGAGGAACCTCTCCATAGTCAGCTGCTTCTGCCGCCTTTTCAGCATCCCTCTTAAAGGGGATATGACCCTTGATCAAATGTTTTCACATTATGTGCCACAGCCTTGTCCGGGTGTTATTGCTGTGCTACAGTCTGCACATGTCGCCAATGTTCTAAGAAATCTTTCAGTTTACTGGTGAACAGCTGTTCCTCCCCTGGATGCTCTTCATCTCCAAAAGAGGCCTGCTCCTCCGTAGCCTCTGTCTGTGGCTCGACCAGCTCCTAAGTGGACAGCTCCTGGTTATGGCCTTCCACCAGTTCACAGATGTCCTCCTCTATGACCTCAAGGCCCATGTTCCTCCCTAAGGTAACAATGTTCTCCATCACTGTTGACTCTGGTGCAGGCGCAGAAACACCAGAGTCACTTGTTGCCACACAGTCTGGCCACAGGTTGCGCCAAGCAGAGTTAAGATTTCTCTGGCTGATCCCATCCCAGGCCGTGGTGATCATCTTCAAACAGCTGACGATGTCAACGTGCTCCCTCCAGAATTCACGCAGGGTGAGGTTGGTGGAATCGGACACCTCGAAGCAGCGCCTGAAAAGCTCCTTGGTGTACCTTTTCTTGAAGTTGGCAATCACCTGCTGATTCACTGGCTGGAGTACCGGGGTGGTGTTAGGTGGCAGGAACATGATTTTGATGAAATTGCACTCCTCCAACAAGTCTTCCTCGAGGCCTGGAGGATGAGCTGGGGCATTGTCCATGAGGGGCAGGGCCTTCAGTGGCAGGGCATCGTCCATCAGGTACCTCTTGACAGCTGGGCCAAAAGCAAGATTGACCCAGTCCACAAACAGGATGCGTGTGACCCAAGCCTTAGCGTTGGATCGCCACATCACGCTCAGCTGGCCTTTGTTCCCCTTGTCCTTTTTGAAAGCCCGTGGGTTCTCAGAGTGGTACACTAGCAAGGGCTTTATCTTCAGGTCCCTGCTGGCCTTGGCACAGAAGTGGAGGGTCAGACGGTCCTTCATGGGCTTGTGGCCAGGCAGCTTGTTCTCTTGAGTGAAGAAGGTCCTTTTGGGCATCTTCCAAAACAGCCTGGTCTCATCACAGTTGAAGACCTGCTGTGGAAGGTAGCCCTGTGTTGTCACGACCTCCAGGAACTCTGTGGCAAAATCCTCAGCAGCAGGAACATCTGAACTGGCAGCTTCTCCATGCCTGACCACGCTGTGGATTCCAGATCTGGTTTTGAAGCGTTCAAGCCAGCCTCTGCTTGCCTTGAAGACTTCTGGCTTGGCTGAGGTTCCTGGCTGTTGCTGCACAAGGTCTGCGTACAAAGCCTTGGCCTTTTCGCAAATGACCACCTCAGTCACTGTGTCCCCTGAACGCTGCTTCTCCTGCATCCAGATGAGCAGCAACTTCTCCACCTCCTCCAGAACAGCTGGACGGTTCTTCACGATCCTGGTGACTTCATTGGCTGCATCTGTGGCAAGGATCTTCTCCCTCATCTTCACGATGGTGGATGGATTCCTCCCATACTCCCTAGCGATGTCCATGATTAGCGTGCCTCCCGTCGTACTTTCTGATGATCTTCTTCATCTCTAGGATAACCTTCTCCTTTGTCATCTTCCCGGCCTCTGCAGAAGCAGGCATCTTGGGACCCATATCAGCAGCTGCTAAGTTCACAAAAATAAAAGGTAGTGCTTTACATCTGCTTCACCTTCCCACACATCTTCCCACCCCTGGCCAAAACTGCCCTTGACAAACAAGTGGCATAACACACACACACCAGCACAAGCTAAGAAAAAAAACAGTACAAATTTGCACAGAAATATGTATGCATTGCAAGTTCCTCATCAAAATATCTCTGCTTCAGTTGACAATAACTGGGCTTCTCTCACATTTTCTGTGTATGCTGATCTATTCAGGTTTTATGATGGCACCAGAATGGTCTTTACTCAGTTTTCCCAAAGAGAACTTGGGGGAGTACTTCCATGCATACAGAGTTTGACCAAGGAGCCGTAAACTGTGAGACAGAGATTCACTGGTAACTCCACACTTATGCCACTAGATGCCCCCAAGGTACACAAGTGGAAATATCCACAGGCAATGCAGCAAAGCAAATCATAGATGCCTGCAATCTGCTGTGTCTGAAAATCTCTCAATCCCTCTTAACATCTTTAAGAATAACCAACAGTAATCCAGTTGTGGGCCTGATGTAATTAGTTACCCCCTTTTCTTGTCAGTGGGAAGAAGGAAAAGCAATCTGCAATCCTAGCCTCTGCAGCAGAGTAGCTTTGCAATGAAGATAGCAGGCTGCTGTGCGGATGGTCCCTTTCCCTCACCAGAAATGAAGTAAAAGATTCCTCTGTAATCATGGTTCTATCTGTACTATAACATTTGAAATGTCATATAGAAGGAGAGCTTTATGGATACTATGAACCACCAGAAAGACAAATATGTGGGTGTTAGATCAAATTAGAGCCCATGTTGTGTACTGGATAGTGTGTCAGACTAAGACCCAGGGGATCTTGATTCATATCTCCACTTGGCCATGGGCATCAGGAAAAGAGGAAGACAGGATATGAGGTGGATTGACTGAATAAAGCTGTGGCCTGATATTAAGGTCACTAATTCAAATGATCACCATGGCATATAAAAATTAGTTCCCTGACAGCTGAGCAGTACCCCCCCCTTTTTTTTCTTTATATATTTTTTGGATCTCCTGCTGTAGTATTGCTATTCTTCCTTCTGCTTTTGGAAAAATGCGCAGTAACATTTTTTGTCTAGGAGAAAACTGAGTATAACTGAGAAGATGGGATATCCTTTCCCTTTTTTTGTCCAAATCGCAAGTCATTTTTCTGTTCTTAATTACCTGTCCTACCACGCTGGTTTCTCTTCCCGGCTCTCCATATAATAGCGCTCACTGTAAGCTTCCTTCCTATCCGCACTGTCTACCCGGTGATTGTAGGGGGACTGTTGGGTGGTGCTATCAGATCTGAAGTCCTTAGTGATCTGCTTTCTCTTAATTTAACTGAGACGTGCTTTTAAGTACTGACTGATGAAGTAAGCTTATAATCACTGATCAGAATTGGTATATTGTATATGATTTGACTTCAGTGTAGACGGATCCGGTTTCGTTTTCTCTTAAGGGTGCCGTCTGCGTTCAAACCGCTAGTCAATCAGTTCACGACGAAGTGCAAAGAGAATCCAGGAATCGTCAAAGGTCCCCGCCGCTTGTCAGCGGCAAGGAAATCGAGGCACTCTGCACATGTTGTGAGCAATAACATACAAGATTATACGAGAGCCTGGCCTCTGGCTAAAACGTCAGATATTCCCCCCCCCAACCGTCAAACGAGGACATTCCCAGTCCTTAATTTGCCCCCCCTCCCCTCCCCCTGGCGCAGCCTGGCTCGTCCTTTCCTGCTTCCTGTCTCTGCAGGCTAGAGGAAGCGGCGCTCGTGTTTCCTGGATGTGCCCTTAAAGCACGGGGACGGCGGCGGTCGTGACGGCTCTTGCGGCGATCCTCCCAGCTTCCCTCAACCACCACCAGCAGCGTCGTGATGTACTGGAGGAGGAAGGGCACGCACGCACGCACGCGGGTCTCCTTTAGATCTTAAGGCGCTTAGAAATGGGGCTGTTTAAACTGCAGCGATTCGGGAAACCCTCAACTCAACCTGGTGAACAGGAATTAGGCCTAATCGGCTCAT